GATATTTCTGGAGAACAAATGGCGATTTTGGGTCAGAAATTCACCTGTTTTTGAATGCATAGGTTTTTGTCTCAATAACCTTTTATGAATTCAGTCACGTAGAAACATCAAATTGGAAGAGAAAGGGTAACTTTTGAAGCTCTATCGACTGATGACATAAAGAATGAATACAAAGCTGTGATATAGGATAAAAAGTACGGGTTTCGGACTAAATGGCACTCTCTTCACTGTTTATCCAAATATATATGATGCTCATAAGTAAGCAGTCTATTGTTAGGAAAAATTCGATGCAAAAATCTCAGTTTTAACATTCCGTCGAGCATTAGTCTTGAAAGAAAAAAATGATGTTTGAGATAATCGAAAATTGGAATATAGGCGAGATCAGCCGCTTTTCACAATATTTGAGTTGTATGATAGAGGTTGAGCACTAAACATATCTTGGAACAACCTCAACGTTGGAACTGAGGGGTTACTTTCCAAGCTCTTTCATATGGTAAGCTCTAAAAGAGGAAAAAGCCTGCAACATAATGAAGAAAAAACTTAATTTAGAACACAATTGGGCTTTTTAGGCGAGATTACCTCATTTTTGCGTTGTGCTCAGCATGAAGACAATCTTGTTACAATACGAAAGCTTCATTGAACGGATATTGATTTGATCTCACTTGGCTGGGAGCCTTAGAGACAAAGAGTAAAAAGTGTCACTAAGTCTCGAGTCTGAAATAGAAAAGATTTTAGTCAGTGATTGTTTTATTCATATTTTTTTTTACTATTTTAGATAGTACCGAAAACATGCTAAGCCTGATAATTCGTACAACACTGCTTCTTTCTTGTTGCTCTAGTGCTAATGACCTTCTACAGAGAGAAAGGTTATCGGACAGAATAAAACCTATCAGAAGATGGCATTACTTAGTCATGCTTTTGAAAAACATAAGACAACTTCTATGTCAATGTTTCTTCAGTAGCACATGACTTGTAAGTACAAGGTTAATTAAATCATCATTGAGTTTTCTTGTTATGTGCTGCATATCTCATACGTGAAAGCTTTTGTAAATTCTGTCTAACTACATAAAACGCTGAAAAGCCGTATATGTTCAGCATAAAGCTCTTAATATTTTCAACTAATTGGAACTGAGTTTTCTATCGATGCATTATTTATACAATAATTATTTTACTATGACTTTGTCTCCTAAGAGACAGAAAAAGCAAAAGAAATTGGATACACACGAGAAGTCTGGATACATGTTTGTTCGAGTGTCCTGCCGCATCCACTGGTACGTTGCATATTTGCTTTGTAAATCAATGTAAGAACAGTGATAGGCGCGTTTTTCTAAACTAGATAAAAGTACTGTGGATTTATGTACATCTAAACATTTTTCTTATCCTTAAGGCTTAACCCTTTGGCGCCGAGGTTTTTTTTTCAAATGAAAATTTGTTTTCTTCTTTCAGACAAGTTTGGAATACACTTTGTTGTTATATAGAAATGCTAATTTTGTGAGAATATATATCCGAAGATGTAAGTTGCTTCTCGTTTAGAATCGACAGTTTTATTTATGTGAGAAAACACATAGAAAGAAAAGAGAAAGAGAATGCCATCGGAGTATATTAGAACGAGTAAGAAGGTGAGAAGCAAGCGTGTGTGGGAGTGGATAAAAAGAAAAGACCCCCCCCCCCCGCTCCCGTGGCTATGCCCCTAAACTAGAGTCAATTTATTGATAGACGACTGCATACCCATAGCCACAAGATGACCGGAGATGCAACGTATATGAGGTTGTAGTCCGTCAAAAGCTCTACAAAATCGTATGTGAGAAAAAATATTTTATANCCCCCATCACAGACTACTACAGACAGGTAATTCCCCCATCATAAACCGTGACAGAGAAGCCAGGTACCCATTGCAGACCGTGACAGAGAATTCAGGTACCCATCACAGACCGTGACAGAGAAACTGTAGTTGTAAAGCATCAGATTAACGGTTAGCTACAAATGTATCGCAACGTAATGTAAGAAAAGGATTTGCATTTAATTAGGAATAATAGAGCCATCGTGTTTCACATTTTTAATCCCGCAAGGGATTGCGCTAACAGCTTTTTCAAACATTTGTTTCATTTTTGCTTTTCTAAGTTTTCAATAGTAGAATGTTAAAAATCAAATGCAGCGTTTATTCCTATCTTTTTAGAAGGGTGGATGTGAGTGTGGGTATCGGCATCAGAGAATTAATGGCTCACCCCACCCACCCACACTCACACCCCACATCGTTACCCACACCCAAAAATGATTTTATTCTTTTCTTTTGAAAAGAGAAAAATGGAGCATGTTATCATCAATGAATCATGAAATTCTAATAGTAGAAGCATTATACGATGCAATCGCATGATTGTCATCCTTCAAGTATTGTATTCCTGCATTAAATATTTTAACAATAATGTGGAAGAAAAATTCAAAATATACGACACCATCAGTGCAGAGGTCCACTAATAGTGAATTGCAATATTTTGACAATTCTAGAGAACGAGTAATATCATTGGGTCGCACGCAACCGTAGTAAGTTCTAGAAAATTTCATTACTGTTTGGTTAGATTCAAACATTGACGAATCCGACGAAAATTATCAAAATTCGATCGCTCAGCTACAGTGCATTGTTATTTCCGTCGAAATATTTACTGACGCTGATGAGTGTATCGATTTTGTCACTGAAATAAACGATGAAAAGTATTCATGATTATATCGGTTAGTCTTAGTCAAAAGCTTCTGCCTTTGATCCAAGAAACGACTCAAATCGATTCAATTTACATTGTTTTTTATAATAAGACCGAACATGAACAAACGATCAAAGAATGGAGAAAAGTTAAAGGTATCATCACCGATATCCCGTTCATTTGTCATCAACTCAAACAGAGCGTTCGTCAGTGTGAGAAACATTTGACACCAATTAGTATTGTCGCTACATCTTCTATGGTCTATTTGAATGAACTCGACCAATCATTCATGTATTCTCAATTGCTCAAAGATATCCTACTCAAGATGCAATACGATGAGCAAGCTAGGCGACAATTTGTCAACTTTCTTCGGATTATATACATCGATAACAAGGCAAGACTGATTATTATCGATCGTTTTGAGCGAGATTATCATCTTCATTGGCTCATTTGTTGGCATACAAAAGAGTTATTTATTTATTCGATACTTAATAAAGCTCTGCAGACACAACACATTGAAATCATTATGAAAATGGCATTTTTTCTTAAAGATCTCCATCGGCAAATTCAACAAATCCACTCAGAAATCCACCAGAAAACAATAATGACTCTATATCGAGGTCAAGGCATGTCAAGTGATGAAGTTGAGAAGATGAAAAAACGTCAGGGTGGTCTTCTTTGATTTAACAACTTCATATCGACCAGCATTGATCGAGAAGTCTCCCTTATCTTTGCAGATAGTTCTCGAAGTAATCCCAATATAATTGGGATTCTGTTTCTTATGGAAATCGATTCATCAATCTTATCCACTGTTTTTGCGTCATTGGACAATATCAGTTATTTCTCAGAATCAGAAAAAGAGATTCTATTTTCAATGCACCGTGTATTTGGAATCGGTGAGATGAATAAAATTGAGGACAGATTATGGCTGGTAGAGCTCATATTGACCAGTGACAATGATGAACAATTGAAACATCTCACTGAACACATGCGTGAAGAGATCGGATGAGGGGCAGAATGGTACCAACTAGGTCGAGTGATGTTAAGGATGAGTGAATTTTATAAGGCCAAAGAACTGTATAAGATACTACTTGAGACAGCATCTAGTGGCGACTCGACAGAATTCGCCTCGATCTACAATCAATTGGGATATATCAAGAGTTGGAAGGGTGATCAAACAGTTGCACTTTCATAATACAGAAAGACACTAGAAATCCGGCAAAACTCTCTACAACCTTCTCAATTCGAACTCACTACCATTTATAACAATATTGGCTTGGCATACCAATTGATGCTAGAATATTGGACTGCGCTCTCCTGGTATGAATGCACATTAGAAATCCGAAAAAACACCCTTTCAAAAATTCACCGTAACCTCACTACGACCTGCAACAACATGGGTATGGTATATGATTTGAGGATGTGAGCGTGGGTGTGAATCCTTCTTAATACACCCACACCCACCCTAGTTTGGTATTCTTCATGAAATTGTTTCAGCTTTCTCGTTTTCTCGCCTATTAAAGCCTTGAAATAGGCCAAATAGACAAAAGATACCTCGACGCACATGTAGAGCAGAAAAAAACAAAACCGAAAAGTTTAGAACCCGTCGAATTACAGAGAGGAATATTTGAACAGATGCTTTTCCATTTTTTCTAAGATTAAAACGACTATTTCAAATCCATAACAACTACATGTTAAATGTCTTTCGAAACATTTTTTAAACTTATAGACATAGTTTATATTTGACAGATGAATCCGTCTCATCTGATGGTGTTTTTTCTTTACATTCTCACTCATGATGATGCTGAATAGTAAAAAGAATGAAAATTATGATTCGATTAATCCTAAAAATAACATGAAAACAAATAAATAAACCTATGATAGATTTGCAAATCAAATCCATGTTTAGAAATGTAAGAGCTGCTAGTATTTGATGATTGACCTTTGTAATATGACTTTTACTAATCGGTAAGATAATTATGTTTTCTTAATATCAAATTAGAGATTTCATCCTGTAAAATATTTACTCTTGGTCTTAGTTTTAAGAGGGAATGTAAATATATAGAGAGACTTACGATCATAGCTTGAAATACAACAACAAACGATTTCATATTGGTAATTATTTGAAATGGCTTAATAGAACACATTGTTAACTGCCTAAAGAAGCGATAGAAAATAAATGTAAATCCTAGATCGTTCCCGTGATGTTATTCTGCGTAAAAGGAAAATAACAAACAATGATAAATATAAAAGGTTGAAACATCATTCATCTTTAAGCTAATCAAGTTTATCTGCATAGATTCAATGGTCTGCAGCTATCTCTTCTTCTGTTCTTTCTTTCTATATAATATTAATTTCATTTCATCAACTGTGTATTCTTGCAATCACAACGCTGAATGTGGCTGCTCAAAAACTGATGCCATAGTAGATAAGATTGTTGGTGGTGAATCAGCAGTTAACTCAAGTTGGGGTTGGGCTGTATCTTTACAGAGATTTGGCAGCCATTTTTGTGGTGGTGCAATTATTTCACCATTACATATCATTACAGCTGCTCAATGTGTTCCAAATTCTACCACGATAATCGGCACTACAAACGTAGTTGCTAGTATAGATAAGTTGTCTCAATCAACATCGTCATCTGCTCAAGTACGTTCTGTTGTCAATGTTTTTTCGCATCCTGACTACGATGAAGATTCGAATACTAATGATATTGCTGTTTTACGACTTAATCAACCATTGGATATTTCATATGAAAAAGGTTCTGCTCTATTATGTATACCTCGTGTTGTTGCGGCTAATGCAAATAATGATTATCCCGTTTCTAATTCAAGATTGGTAGCAATTGGATGGGGTAAATTGGCGCTTTCAGACTTAGTGATACCAAATACTTTGCATCTTCAACAAGTAACAGTGAATGCAATGCCTACAGACCATGCAATGTGTAGACCTACGATCAATAATCAACAACTTCAATTTTGCGCCGCTGTGGAAGGTGGTGGAAAAGGTAAGAAAATGATCATGAGCTTTTAGTTGTAGACTATCTTATAGTTGAATGCTGTTTCTTTTCTGATCTATATAATTTTATTAGATACATGTGACGGTGATTCAGGTGCTCCTTTAATGCATTTTGAGTTGGATAAACGTCAATGGGTATTAGCGGGAATAACAAGCTATGGAGTAGGCTGTGCTCTTCCTAAGTATGCTAGTGTTTATACACGTGCTTCTATGTATCATGATTGGCTTCGCTCAGTAGTCAATGATAATTTTATTACACTAGCAATCGGTGAAAATATTACTAAACCACCGATCAATCATAATTGTACTGAACCATCGATGAATCATAATTCTACTGAACCGTCGATCAACCATAATTCTACTGGTTCACCAGGCAGTAGTGCTAGTTTTGTCTGGATAAATTCACTTCAAAGCATACTATCACTCTATTGGCCACTTTCATCATTGCTATACGTATTTAATCGACTGTAATTGAGTATTCAATTCCAACTTCTCAGAATAAAATCTACAATTATCTACATGATATGTTCATTTTCGCTTATTGGCTTTATAATCAAGTTCGGAAGCATATAAAAATATTATGGCGGGGTGTGTGGACGTGGGTGTTGGTGTGGGTGTGGGTGTGGGTGTGGGTGTGGGTGGGTGTGGTTGTGAGTGTGGGTAGGTGTGGGTGTGGGTGTCGGTGTGGGTGTAGGTGTGGTTATCTTCTTTTTTGTCACTCACACCCACACCCACACACTCCACCATCGTCGAGATCTATCGATTGGTATATTTAGTTTTTGTTTGAGCCACTCAGGAGCGAATCGCGACGGATCTTTCTGAACTATATCGGTTTTTTTAGCATTTTTTTGTGGTATTTCGAACTTTGCTCCGGTTTGAGAGCTGCTCGGGAGAAAGTAATTATTGGAGTGGATAGAGCTCGTTTAGTTCTACTTGGAGCCAATACAATCTCGGTTGGAGCCAGTTTTATGGCGAATATTTTCCGGATATATTCGAATCCTGACCTAGGATATCCTACGTATTTTGCTCGTTCTATAACTTATCGTTCGAACGGCTTGAAGGATGCGACATAGCGTGCATCGGAGACAAAAAAATTATACATTATAACGCTACTCGGTTTTTTCTGCCATTGTTTGTTGCACAGCATCAACAAAGTATTAACATTTTACAACCAATACTATATCGCTCATCACTATAATCCTGATGGAATCAAGCCTCAGATGTTTCCTTCATGCAGGCAAGAAGATATTGGTCTTCAACATTACTTCTAGAAGTGTTTTGCATCCATAATCATGTATCTCGTCAAATATCGAGACTTGGATGCATTTCCGGCCTCGGTACTAGAGGATGTGGGTTGGATCTGAGAGTAATACTATGCTTCATCCACACCCATCTATCTTTGTTTGAGTTTCATGACTGTAAAAAAAGAAGACATTATGGACGATTAGAGTCATTTTATCTAGGATCATGTTCTAGATATGTTTCATACGAGTTTCGTAGAAGTTCGACAAGTCATTACAGAGCTTTATTTATTTTTCTGTAACCATTTGTTCGAAAAAAACCATCTATTGTTCTTTGAGTACGCAAACCTTATTGATACCTCAAAGCATCGATCTGAAACTTTAAATGAAGCAGTTTTTTAATAACTTGACTTTCTTGCTTGAAATTTCTGAATCTCATATTGTTCCAAAGAGAAATTGCATGGTGATGATGAAAGTATTATCATATTAGATTCACAAAGATTGATTTTCGAACAAAAACCTACTCAGTTTTTGCATGTAGAAAACCATAGACTGAGCTTTAGTTTTATATACAAACATACAGAATCAATCTTAGATTTGATTAGAAACTAAACAAACTTCAATAACCAGCCTTTTTAAGTAAAAAAAAAATAGACATCATCCATCATCACTTCGTTTCTGCTGCAGCAATCACGATACTGTTGTTAATCTATATGTCTGACGGTGTATATACAGATGAAATTCTTATACCTTTAGTTTCAATGGTGACTGAAACTCGAAAGAAAAAGAACTTTTCAGTAGTATATCTTAGAATTCTTTAAAAAAGCTCTAAACCTTTTTGAAGCCAACCGTGTTGGTGCCTCCTAGTATTTCTTGACCTTGTTTTTATGAAAGAAAATTTTGAACATCGCATTATCAATAATAAGAAAAAGAATTAATCTATTGTATTCACACAGAGCTAAATACTCAAAGTTTGTATCATATTCATATTCATAGCATACGAGAAGCAACAAGCACATTTTTATTTTCTTTATATAAAAAAACAGCTTTTCATCTTTTTGGAAAATTCTTTTATACAAATTATCTATTGATAAAAGAGTTCTTCAACTGTTAAATAATTGTGATTCTCACATTGTCAAAGTTAGCTGGAAATCATTGTCATACACATTAAAAAAACTAAAATAGTTTCTTTTTGTTCATAAGATTTAGTTACATCATTACTCTTTTATTATAGGTGTTTTTTCAGTACTTATCATGTCTATTTAGCCGAGGGTTACTTAAATCTATATGTGTACTGATATTCAGAAATAAGTTCATTAACAAGAAAAGACATTTTGAAGGCCTTGTTATATTAAATTTTCAAGACAATTATGTATTCATATTTACTGAAATAATATTGACCATGAAAACATTCGAATAAATAATCGATAGCTAAGAACTAAATTCGATATTTGTTTTAAAAATACTGAACACATGCCGTTGATTTATCAAGAATGAATGGATTGATATTGAGTTGTGTTTATAAATAAGGATGAAAATAATACTAAATGTTGATCTGATAAAGACACATTCAAAATAAAATTAATTATTTAAATACAATGAATAAAGAAGACACACTATAGTATTTCTTGTTCATAGAAATATTCATTGATTGATGTTAAAATTTATTTACACCTAATGTATACTCTAGAGTTAACTCAGACAATCGTTCTACTTGCTGGATATTTTTTCAGTGGCAGATAAATTATTAAAATTGGGTTGCAATACGAGATGTTTAATATTTATAGATATACTGTTTTTTGATGTTCTTACAATGAAATCTATGATTCATTTGACACAAAAATCCATGAGTAGGTCAATTTCTGATTGATAGTTTTTATTTTTCTAATCAAAGAAAATTGATCATTTCATAACTAAACGAGAACATATTATTTGAATATGTAAATATTATATTAGTATCAATTATCAATAAGATTATAGTGCAAATGAAATTTTAGAGTACAATAAGTGAACCAATGAAAGAAACTTCTTTACAGTTTTGTGTTTAAGAGATTTATTACGTAATACTGATTTGTCTATTAAAATTATTTTGAAATCTTAAAAGTCAGATTAATGCAACACTGAACATATTTACAATTCGATACGCAAAGATGTGAAAAAGCTTGTTAGCGCAGCTCCTCCGGAGCTAAAATGTGGAACTCACGTATACTCTTGTATCTCTCTGAAGTAATGCATCATGTATAATATAAAATTCTTCGCCTAAGCTGTAATTATATTCAACAACAGTTGGTGACAATATCCGTTCTTGAATATGCATTTCCGGATTAAGAACAGAATTGTTTTGCTTTTCGTTTGAGCGCCCCTACTTTTATTTATTATAGTTGCTATATACTCCCGCTAAGTCATTTTTTTTTAATTTGAGATTTTTTATTTTCTTTTTTAAATAACATTTAATTATCTCAAGAATAAGATGGTTGCAATGATATACTAAATATGCCATCGATTACGCTTAATTCTCTCTGATGTATCTGAATGAAATCATAAATGATAATATGGTCGTTTTTTCGATTTGATTAAATGATTATTATTAAAATGAGAGTTATTATAGATTAATATATAATTAGTATTCGCTGTTAATATTTGACATACAAGTATAGCTTTAAAAAAAGCCGACAACTACATTTTATACAACATTAACATTTTTCTATAGCTTATTAAACAATGATGAAATCATTTAAACAGTGTTCATCAGTCGAACTTATATATTCTTATGTCATACAATGTTTTTTATAAATAAGAAAATTTGAAGTTTGTTATGGGCAGTTGCTAGCGTCTGTAATGGGGGGGGGGGAGCCACGAAACCTCGACTTAAAACTTACACTCACTATTTTCTTCGAAAATATACGTGAGTTCCACAATAAAGCGGTTCAATTTACTCATAAAATATTTTTCTTTGAATAAAAAAAATAATTTGTTTTAGAAATTCATGCATAAAGCTGTTCTATGATTAGAACAGTAATAAACAGTTCCGTGTTGACTTTTATTCAAACTACCTGTAGTAAATCTGTTTTGATTGCCAATGATTGTAAGATATGCGATTACGAAACTTATTTTCAAACTTTTCCTCACTTGATCTGTGCCGTAGGTTATTGATAATATAAAAACCAACCTGTATCAAAATTTGAATGAGCCTGATTCTTAAATATAATAATCTCTACAATAATGCACTAGTGGTCTTTTACACGCTCTGATCAGATTCAATACTAGAGTGATCTTACTACTAGCCTTATGATTTTCACATAAATGCATATGTTTTCTTTATAGTAAGACCTTCATGATGGTTAGAGCTATTTTTTTGTCTAATGAACACTTGAGATCTTGAATCATTTTCTTTGAAAATAAGATCAGGGATAGAGATTTTATAGAGCGAAATTTGTAGCTCCCATCGTAATATAAGACGTAATTGTATTTCTATGTCAACTTCGACAGTTACTAATGTGAAGAGTCATCTGATAGGTACTAGTATGTTGCATTTTTATCAAGATGATATGTGAACTATAATTTATAATTCAAATACATGACTTTTTTTTCTGATTTTCTTCCATAGTTTTTGGACGGCTCGATCTCGAATATATTTTTTTCTACTTTTCTGCCGCAGCCATAATGCAATTCGATCTGAGTTATAGTTTATAATTCAAATAAAACTTTTTTGTCTCTTTTCTTATTAAAATTATACAGTGGATCGATTTGAATTATAATATAAAATTCAGATCATTTTTTTCTCTTGTATTCTACTCTAATAATAAAACAACCTGATGTAAATTACACTTTGCATCTTAAACGAGGCTTTTTTCTGCTTCTCTTTCACCAACAAAGAACAGTTCGATTTCAATTATGATTTATTATTCAAATAAAAGCTTTTTTTTTGCTTTTTCTGCATACTATGATTTTAATGTAGTTTGGAAATTTTCATTCATATTAGAACTTGAATCATGCATCTGTAGTCATAAGTTCAGTCAATAATCAATCGACAAACATTATTTGATGATTCAACAAAAAAAGCAGAAAAAAACGTTCTATCATACCAAAGTTTAATTCAATGTAATTTTTTATTAATGTGTATTAGTCAATCACCCTTTGTACAATGAAATCTGTTATTCCTACTTTTCTATATGTAATTAAAAAAAAAATTGAGAGAACAGAGTCAATGTCGAAAAACAAGTTTTTTTTTGTTCAATAACGTAAGAATTTCTGTACACGATGATTAAATGTATCGGAAACATATAAATTAAGTTGATTGTCAAGTGCCACCCAATAAGAAGAATATAACAGAGTAGAATCATTACCAGATACATCTGTAATACCAGCAATGGTTGTACCATTTGATTTACCAGCCAAAAAGAATTGTATACGATGATTCCTAGCATCAGCAATATAAATGGTTCCCATTGGATCAATAGTCATACCAACAGGATGATAGAGTGATGATGAATCACTACCAGCACTTCCATTTATATTACCAGCAACGTGTGTTCAATTATGAGCACCCAATACCCAACGAACAATTTCATTAGTATCATAATTAGGTATTAGGAAGCTTTGTGTGGTTTAATCATAAACTAAGCCAAATGGATTATATAACTGTGTGCTAGAGTGTCCTGCTGAATTTCCTCCAGCAACAACTGTACCTGATGGATAACTAACAATTTGACGATTATAAGTATCGGATATATAAACTATTCCAGTGATTGAATCCCTAACAATAGTTGTCGGACCATTTAATGAAATATTTAAAGTTTCACCTATGCCTATCAGAGAATGCAAAGATGACTTACGAATTATTGAATAGAGTATCGTTTCTGGTGAATTGTATTGTTCACCGCATAGATAGAAGATCAAATTTCTTATTATTTTTCAGATTTTTGACTGAAAAACAGAAAGCTAAATTTTGACGATAAGAACATTCTATTATTGAATTTTATAGTCAAAATTTGATATGTTTCTTAGCCTTTTCCTTATCTGTTATATACCTGCTGTTGTAGTTCCGATTGATGTACCAGTATTCCATAACTGTACTCTATTATTGCCTCTATCTGTTATATACATATTATCATTCGAATCAAAACCTTAGTTGAGACGTAAGATTTGAACAAAACTATTTAAACTGTATATTTTTTTTCTTTGTTTAGTTTTTGCATAATAGCTCAATATAAATATTGCTTTAGGTATTTTTTAATACAATATTTATGTCATTGTTATTTGAACATAAAGTTACTACGTATTTAGTTTAATCATTAAAACCTTGCTTAAAAGAATTGATAGCCGAGATCATTTTTTATGAATATTATGTATGCTTCACTTTTTTGTCTTTTCTCAATTTTAATCTTATCAATTGAGCTTTAATATTGACATTTTTCTCCTCAAAAATAAGTTTATTTCATCATTTAATCATTTTATTATATAGAATGTATGAAATTAATAAATGTATAATATTGTCATGTAATATTTATTCAAATAAATTACTTATTGTTCATGAAGACTACTACTCTATAATATCTATTAAATTCTTTTCTTAATATTAATAATAAAAAAAATCAATGAAAATAATCTTGTTTCATTAGTAAATCATGTTGAAAACAACATACAAAATAAAAAAGAAATGCATTTGCTAAAACTAACTAGGATATTCTGAAGTTTATGTCTGTAAATCTTTTAGACAAGGAAAACAAAATCTAACATCAACATGGCAACTCCTTTTTAAGAAAATAGTTAAGTTTATACTTAACTTGTTGTCGTTGATTGTTTTGTAAATAAGACGCTTAAAATAATGACAACAGCAATAATAATAAAAACACTAGATAGAATGGTATATAGATAAATACGTAGATATTTGTTGCTACTAAAATTCTTATATTCATAACTAATAGAGAAAAGTCAACTATATACTTTATATGTTTCTTCAAATAATGATCTTGAATAGAACGATTTTGGTGATTATCCGTATCGATTTGTTTATCTGTTGCATATTTATTCAAACCTTTATTTTCCACGACTTTCGATATAGAGCCTTATAATCAAAATAAAAAAATATTTCTAATATGATATAGATTTAGTCTCACCGATAAATTAGTTACATTGATTATTGATTGATTTATTGGATTTTGAATGATTGAAGAATTGTTCAATTCGTCTTTTACTGGTAAAATCTTCTAAAAAAAAGAAAACAAAAATATCAAATTTAATCTATGAACCATTAGTTTATCTAATATCTAACCGATTTATTAGTCTTCAAATTGAAAAATTTATTATTTATTGAACGAGTATTACTTTTCGATCTTAAAGCTATATGTATGATGTTATTTGCTTGTTTCTTTTTTATTGATGTATAATGACGCTAGACATGAAAAATATTATGAAAAATACCATAAGAGAATATTGAGCAAATTTACTCGACTTTCTAATGATGAATGTTGTTGTTGACAAGAAATTTATATATTATGTGGTTTAATTGGCATTAGAGATTTCGAACTATTCGACGTTGTGATCAGTTGGTTTAATTAATAATTAATAAGGAGTTTGTTTTTTTTTTGTTTCTAAAAGAATTGATGATCTGTGATTATTCTTTTATAAGTACATATAGATATGTAAATCAAGTTTCGTATGGTGCGATATTTCATTAGAATATTTAACTCATATTGCTGGATATGTTATAAGAATTCAATTATTTGAAATTAAAAATAGCACTAGATACTTATAATACTTCTTTGGCATCTATAATATCATGTTTTGTTTTAAAAAAATCTATTAGAAATTTTGATAATTAATCCTCATGCAGACATTCATTGAAAACTGTCGCAATATCGGGCTATGGTAGATGTTGTTTTTTTTTCTTAACTTTTCACTATTTGTAATAATAATCAAATTAGGGTTTGAATTCTTCAAACATATTATTGTACATTATCAATAATCATGGTTTGTTTGATTTTTGTCGACGTTGTATCTAAGTCTTTCCCACACACTCATGAAAATTTCGATGACTAATACACTTCTCAACCTTCTATTATATTGATCTGTTAGTTTAGAGTTTTTTTTTCATCTTTTGCAGCAATCTACTTTTTTTTATAACCAAATGAAATCATTGAATAATTTATGTGAAAGTTTCTAAACAAAAAGCATAAGGATTTGTTTTAATATAATGTAGATTACCTTATTTCGAAATGGTATTTCCCGATACAAATATTTGTGAAAGAGAGAAAAATCAGAATTGATTCAAGTTTTTTTTTTGTATTCCATTAAAAAATAATAATGATAAACAGATATGTTATACCTTGTATATATGTTGATTCTTAAGACTTTCTTCTCGATTTATTTGGATTCTGAGTTGGTGGTAATTTTGTACATGAGATGAGAGAAAATAAATCTAAAAAAGAGATGTTGAATATTATATTAGAGTAACTAGTATAATTTTTTGTTGTTTTTCAATGATTTGATCAAATATCTTGATTTATCGTTCTATGAACTTAATGTAATGCGAATATGTGACTTTTTTTTAATATTTAAATATATTATTATATCATGTCTGATTGATTTCATGAAGGTTTCTATGCGTGAATGAGACAGGTGACATTGTAATATTAAATTTCATGTTAAGTGGCTGTCAAAATTATTCAACTAGTAGATGGGCTTATTTTAATTTTATGACTATTCTAAAAACTAGATCAACTAGAATAATCTGATTTTCATCTAATTACAGTTCAGAATTCATATTATATTGTGAGTGTAGGTGTGGGCGGGGGTATGAGTATAGATGTAGAGTGAAGAGAACACTAGCATACGCAATCATACCAACACTCTAGCGAATCCGTTTCTTTACGATTTACTTTCATTCTACCATCAAAATTCTTACACTGATATTATCAAGTTAATGAAAAATGATGTCACATATGGAAAACTTCATTGAATGATTAGAAATTCTTTGATCTTAGGACTTATAAAATTAAAATGGAAACTATTGGATTTAAATGAAAATTCATCTCGACTATTGAAAATAATCAATTTTTTTTTCTGAGAAGAAATTATGAATACAATGATGGATCTGTTTGAAATCGTGAAAACGTTTTGTTCACAACAGATCTCATTGGTTATGAAGATACTTTTTGCTAAATTGGATTAAAGCATTAATGAACCAAACTTTGGGAACCATATATAAAACGTAGATTACATGTCTATCAAGTTGAATGACTCAGTAGTAATCTCTGTGGAAATATAAAAGTATTGTATTGGGCATACGAATATAATACGCTATAGTTCTACAAAAATAATTTTTCGTTGAATGAATTCGACCAGTTTTGTCCAATCTATCACAAGTATTGTGAAATATTCCAAATAATAAGACTACTTCAATAAATTACTAGCAGAACTGTGATTCAATAAAAATAAACTTTGTCAAATGCGATCGAAAAAGTTTGCTTTCAAATGTCTCTATTTTTTTGGATCGAGTGTAGAACAAGTAGTCGTACGATGTCAAGTTTGAAGCGTATTCATAGTTTGGAATTATAGCAAGTTTTTAAGCTATTTCAATACAAATAATAATCATTTGATGGGTGATCGTTAAAAATCTCTTATATTGTAGTGATTAAAATATGCTCAACGGGATAAAACATGACTTTTTGTTTGTTGTAAACCAGATAAAACTTTCATATTAACTTGGACTTGGACTAGTCATAAAATAAAATCAAATGGATCTTATGGTTCTAGAGTGGATACTCACGTAGAATTTGGTAAGCAGACAATGATATTTTTCGTTGAGAACGTCAAATACTGATATCTTTCTTGTGCGCATCATCCTGATCTGTGTGAAACTAACAGTATAATAGCAAAAATTTATTTAGCTGATACAGTGCAAATCTGGATTTGTAGTAGTTTACTTCTTCTCTCTATTCTTACCCACACCTACATTCAACATAGTACATAACTTAGAAACTATTTTCGAAAAAAAGCTTTCATTTGATTCACCAATCGCTATACGAATATAAATGAAACTCGTTTTAAACAATTGTTCACTACATGTTCATCGCGTTCATTCTGTTTGCAACTCACATCATTTCTCAGTGACATTCCAAATCTAAGATTAGCTACTGAGTTTCTATGTTTCTCTTGAGTCATCTATATGCATCAAATTCTGTTTATTTTACAACGGTTTTAGTTTCTAGAAATTGAGTTTGTTACCTTCCTTGTTAGAGTTTGTAAGTGTTACTGTGCTTGGTGAAATATAAACATTGGTGTAATACCATGTATCTAGTTTTTGTTATACTGGAGAGAATGGTTTCAAGGAAACTTGAAGCTTCTTTCTTTCATATAATGCGATCGCTATTTCGTTTGCACAGATGCTTATCATTTCTTTTTTTACATGTCACGTCTTTTTACACACATATCCATGAAACGAATGGTGATTCGAGTTGCCACCTGCAGATGAACAAAATTGAATGAATTACATAAGTTCTGACTCATAAGTTTTACTTGCTTGTGTACGATAATGATAGATTAATGCGTTATCGAATGTTGGTTGGTTGCTAAGTAGGTATTGATCAAGTAGATAGAATGTATCCAAATTTCTTTAAAAAAAATTTCTTCGGGGGCGCGTTAAGTCCAATCGAGAAGACCCACACCCTACTCGATGCTACTAAATAACCAATGGCCCATAAAGTGTAGAATAGTGTCACGTATCGTAATATATTAGAAGATTGGAAGTTAAGATGAACTTCTCTAGTTTATACGTGAGAAAGTGGGAAAGATAATCAAGAAAGAAACTCGGTTTGTATGAAAGAATTGAAGAAGAACAACGACACTATTACAAGAGCGATATACATATAGATACATGTACAGTGAAATAGGAAACTTTGAACGTGAAATGGGAAAATACATATTAAGAAAGCGAAAACAAAACTTGGGCAATTTTAACATTCGTGCATAGTGATCATTGGGAAAATCCAATACGTCACTATATCACAAATAGTTTCCTTTTATCTGTTTTTAAAAGTCTAAAAAACAGCCCATAGACTGTATGCTAAGCTGATTTCATAGAGAATTTTTTGCTCTGAAGAACTATAGATTTTACTTTTGAGGTAAGTTTTTCTGGTTTTAACAACAGTTCTGCTGAAATATGTAAAAAGCTACAAGATTGTTTATAAAATTCGTTATCTTTTGATGTTTGTTGAAATATTTTCGAAAAAAACAGCTTCGAGAAAAGGGTCACCCATACCGATAAATAGATGCAGTGAAAAGTTTAAAATTTTTCTCAGGGCTTTGTATTGGATGTGTTGCTTGACTAATACATTGACAGTGAGGATCAGGTAGTAATGCAATTCTTGTAAAGATTGTAGTAGAGGATGAATATTCTGATTCATGTGTTCTACCTTTCTCTTCAGGATAGAACGACGCAACTCAGCTTTACATTCTGAATATTAATCGGCATTTTTAGTACGAAAAAATATTCATTCGAACGACTTTGATGTTAGAGTAATGTGAAGTTTTTTTTCAAGACAGTTGCAGATGACAGGAAAGAAACAAGATGTTGTTTATAGGATAGAATTGGTTGTAACGGTGTGCAAGTATTTGGTGATTCAGCGACGCGCACTTACATTCACATTTTCACCCATACCCCACACCATTTGTTACATATTCTACATTGTTCTTTCGACAAATGAAATATGTAAATCAATTGACATAAAAAATTGAAATAATTAGTAGCTCAACGGTCAGAAAGAAACTGAAGTTCGTGAGAAAGATCACCATGCTGGTTTATTATAAAAGTTTTTATTTCTATGTAGATATAAATGAAAAGGAAAGAAATCATTAACATCCACCCCCGATGTTACAAGCACCACTATCACAACAGGCTGTCGATGAACAACTGGCTGCCGTTGCCGACATAGCTGCCGAATTGGTTGCTAAAGTTGACATCAGTACGGCTTGATTTGTCAAGTTTCTTGAACGGTTCTTATGCTTTGTTCGATTCGCTGTTTCCGATGGAATATAAGCTGAATAATTCATTTAATAAACACTCGTTCAATAATTACTCTCAAATAATAGCAAGCACTCACCAGTTCTACTGTGTTTCTTACTACTGTTGTTACCCATGTGTCTATAATATGCGTTGAAAATTTGCAGTGGGGATGTTTATTTTAGAGGTTCTTAAATATTTATTGCGTTGCAAGTTGATTTTTCAATGAATCATATCAAATATATCACGTACAAAATAGAAAATGAGTAAAATGAGGAGGAGACAAAATGACTCAGAATACATTATACTTTTACGCATATAAGCAAAAGAAAAGAAAAAAATATGACTCTTGTACAGAAAGAAAGAGAACCGAAAGTAAAGGCTGCATGAAAAAAAATTGTGAGTATGAAGCCGTTGACGCTACTATCAATCTGTCATTGTGGAAGATGACATGAGAATGAAATATGATATACACCTTCAAAAGTCCGGAAAAAAATAGTAAATCTTGAAGCAAAAATATTCAGAAACCAAATGCGAATGTGTTACCGCATTATTTGTTACGTAGCTCTCGAAGAACACTATATTTTTTTGAAAGTACTTTTCTCATTCTATGACCTTGATTCGATTCTTAGCTACAAATTGGCTCTTGTTCATATTTCTTTATAGCCTCATAATTCGTAAGCAATCAAGTGTCTTTGATAGCCTTTAGGATGTGATGGATGTGGGTGTTATTTTATTTCAAGCCATACCAATACCTACATCCACCCACAGCCATCCTAATGATTGGTGCATTAATAGGATTATTGGAACATGTGAAATCACTATCAGAAAATAATCGGTGTGCCGAGAAAATTATCCACAGAAATATATATATTCTGATGCCCTGTTGCAGTATCATCATCCATATTATATAAAATTGAATACATTTTTGAACAATTATCGTTACGTGTGAGTAGTCACATGATAACTTAAGTAATGAAGTGCTTCGATTCCTCATTTTCTATGTACTGAAATGGGATAACTACTTTCCAGAATATTCAGAAGCAGAAAAAAATGTGAAATTAACAAGTCTATAAAATAACTTACAATGGCGTTGCAGTTATTGCGGTCCGTCACTTGATTCATATTTTCTTAGTTTGTAGATCTGATTGTCTTTTCGACTTCTTCAGATTGTATACAAAATGGATCTATGCTGATGGTTTCTAATGAATCTTGATGGATCCCGGCGGATCCTGATAGATCCTAGTGGATTGTTAAGAAGCCGACGGCTCCTAGTTAAAAAAAAACACTATTTCATGAAAGATTTTTGAGAGAGACCTTAATCCCTAATTTTTGCGGAAAGTTTTTATGTTGAAAAATCAATAAAGGATTCAGTATTCAATGCAGTTTCTTGTGCCAATTCTGAATGTGCCGTTACTTTTATCAAAAAATGCTTCTAAACAAAGAAATTTGTAAAAAATTATGAAAAACTGAGAAAACGAAGTTTTTGTTTTTGTTTTGAAAAATCCATCTATTGATACAGAAAGTATTTTCACATAAATAGTATAAATGGAACATTGAGAAGAATTATCTCTGACAATTTAATGCAAATCGGAACTATAGGAAAATGTGTTATGTCACTTTTTTTTTGAATAAGCTCTTCAATGTACAAAGAAAGATGACTTGCTATTAATAGGAAAAAATTAAAATCATTTTTTTTATCATGAATCAATGGAATGAACACACTATACTTTTAGAAAATATACCATTCGTTAGTTTACTCTTCCTATCTTTGAAAAAATGCATTTGTTGCTGAGGTCTCAACAAGATGTCCTTGGTTTGTAACCAAGACTTTTGTAATAAACTGAAGAACCGAAACAATATCTTTCGTTTAATCTTGTAATATTTGTTTTTATTTGCAATCAAAAGATAGAAATCATCTTACAATCAAATGTTTAAATTTTTTCCTTTATATTCGATCTAATGAGATTTAACCAATTTATAGAGAAGTCATCAAATGACGTATTCTTAAGAATATAATCATCGAAAAAAATACCTTCATAATTCGCACATAAATAAATTATCTTTACTTGTATGAAAAAAACATGGAAATGTTTTTCATATTTTCTAATTTAGCTTCTATGACTCTTGTTATTCATACCATGTGTATAATAACATGAAAAAAGGAAGTAAAAAATATGTCATATTAGAGAAAGTAGTTAATTATAAAGATTCGTTCTGATTACACTCAAGACTACTAAATGAGAATAAACCATGAGTTCACTAGGCTCAATTTGATAATTGATTAAAGAATTTTAATCTCTTTCTTTAATTCTGATCAATGATAAATGCATAGTAAAAGTAAATCAAAGCTAAAACTAAAAATACATGTTGATTAACATCTATTGTATCAACAATAATCAGTTGGAGATTTAAATAAATTATTACAAAATACATTACGAAATGTTTACCTTTTGTTTCCAAAATCCTTCGTTTCATGCACTGAGGTATTACACTATTTACTGTAACGTTATCTCGTTTTATATCAAAGTTCGATAATGTAGTTGCGCATGTTTTATTATAGTATGTTATATAAATAAGTAACTGTTTACCTGTAGAGATATTTTACTTGAATAGTTATTTGCAACTTACTTCCTTTCGTTAGTCTGTTTGAATTATGATCTGGTATTTTCGTTTTCTTATTTTTGTCAGTATTACGTTCATTTTGGTCAACAGTGGCAGGATTAAACGCCAAGGAGGAGCAGGAGGAGGAGGTGGTGGTGGCGGTGGTGGCGGTGGTGGAAGTGGCGGTGGTGAAGGCATTGGTGAAACTTCAGAAAGTATAAATAATCAATGCTTGAGAAAAGATTTATTTATTCCATTGAAATATATCGATAGAAATATGAAATGTGATGTAGAGAACTTTTAAGCTTGCCATCAGTCTACCGCACACAGAAGGATGAAGACTAGAAAATTTGTCTCAATCAAAATACAGAGCACGAAAAAAAGCTTAAGCTACACATCTCTAATGGTATGAGGGCATATAAAAATTACTTCTCATAAAAAAGACAATTTATTTTGTCTTTCTACACAAAAAGTGTTTAAGATATTTACCGTAATGTTTGATGCGAAGTTTCATCCTTCTAATTAACGTTGAAAACGTTTTTTTATATTTAGCAGCGAATACTGAATTGAGACTTCCGATCATTAATTTAGTTATACTAGTTCATTAATTATTAAAATTTTAAAATCAAAACAATCCTCATTTATATACAGTTAAGAGATGAAAATTATGTTTGATATAGATTTTCTCACAAGGAGATCTTTACATATTTTTATTTATTCAATTATATATAAAATAGAGTACGTACGAATTTAAATGTAATCTGTAACGATAAGATAATTCTATCGTAATCTCGAGTCAGGAAGAGATGTAACGACAAACTGGATTGGAGGTGGAGTAGCTTACCGCCACTCTCGGCAATGATGTTTATTCGCTTCTTCACATATCCAGAGTGTCCCAACTTCATACATAACACATATATATATAGGAGCGAGATAGAAGAGAGACAGGAGAGAGATATATTAGAACAACGGAAAGAGAACAGACAGAGAAAGAAGGAGAATCATCGAACCGTGTCATCAATATCAGCACAGACAGGAGAGAGATATATTAGAACAACGGAAAGAGAACAGACAGAGAAGGAGGGAGAATCATCGAACCGTGTCATCAATATCGGCACATAATCATTTTAACTAAGTTAACAAATGAGAATCTTTATTTGAGTGATTGTTAATCTCGTATCATAGAAAAATAAAATATCGGACGAGGCTTAATGATTGCAACATTGAGTATTTTGCAAATATCTCAGCACAGATAAATCGTATAATTTTATTTTTTTAATGATAATAAGAAATACTATCGAGTCAGTTTGATGATTATTTTATAAGACTAAAAGTGAAGAACTCTCCCATGTCGCCGATAGCGGTAAAATAGCGCCGTTATAACGTCGTTATAGCGATCGCATTCTGACCCCTTTTTCTAGTTCGTTATGGCCGTTATTGTGCGATATAACGACAACATCAATTAATATTACGCGATATGTGACATGACATTTAGTGTGTTCTGTTGTTTCCATACATGCTTACTTTTATCAATATCTAATATTATAAAAAGTTCTGAAATTGAGATCTGCTCACTTTTGTAGCATCAAATTTATTTTATCATATATATATATATGTATTATAACAAAAACAAATAATGACTTTAACGTCATTAACCATTTTACAATAAATACAATAAGAAAAAAAACAGTTTTTAGTACAAATATCATTTCAGAAACATAAAAAAAAACGAGTTCTAAGAACAGCATTAATTGAAGAATACTATTCATTGTTCATCGACATTTTAAGCTTTCTCACTGCTACTCTTCGTTTTGCAAGAAAAACTTCACGAAGCCAATCATTAAATAATTGATCTAATTGATCATTTGTTAATTTAAACTTACAACGAACGGATTCTAAAATAAAAAAGAAATAGAGTTATATCATACAGAATAATTGAAATATTAACCTCGTATCAATTGATATCGATAGTCGTTATGTGTTTCTTCTGGTTTTAATGCCACTAGTTCATCTATAGTATAAAGTATTTCAATGAGATTTGTAACATAAAGATTAGCTTTGTCTCTAGTGGCTGGAATTTTCATTAAATCAATACTTGACACACCATCAGTTGATGTAAATATCTATTAATACAAAAAGAAGATGAAAGCGAAATAAAATATTGTACAATATTGTACTCACCAAACTAGATGGAAAATTTACGTCATCATTGGAATCAGCATCTAGTGCAATAGATATCTATGAAGGATTCCGATAAACAATAGTCTTATTTAAAAGGTTAGCAAACTTTTTTGAAAATAATTGTTGAAGCAAAATATTGCCGTTTTAAAATCATACCTGTCTCTTGTTCAATGCCTTTTGAATCTTCAATTGATTATTGTATAATGTTTTTATCATTTTCTAAATTCGTTCGTGAGAAAGCTGTAATGGAATAAAATACTTCTGCTCCATTTGTTTGAGATACGATTATACGCTGCTTGGAACGTTGATTATAGAAGCTGTTGTAGTTAAAGTAGTAATACGTCGACCATTGAATGTAGGAGTTTTAATTATTTCATTTGTTCGTATAAAATCTTCGTTATCAGATTCAATATCTGAGGAAGATATATTATCTTCTTGAATCTTTTTTGATTTTTTTTTCTTTTTGTTTTGCGGTGGAGAAGGTGATGAATCAATCGTAGGTCTTATACGACAATTAAAATTTGATGACGAATTCGCTGATGACGATTTTTTTTTGGTAACTAAACTTGTTTCTCTAATTGACGGTGATGAAGGCGAGTTATTCGAATTAATAGAGGCCGCAGTGGTGGTTGTTGTTGCTAAACATTAGTAAATGCATAAAAAAGAATTTCAATAAAAAACAAGGCTTTGCCTGTCACATCAGTTGTGTTTGGATTTGTAGTAACTTTTGAACAACTTTCATGTCGTGTTCGTTGCCATCCTTAATTTTAAAGGAAAGTTAATATTTTTATGAAAACATAGGACGAACCCTTATTTATTATTGTACTTCCACTACCATTCTTTGCTCGAGTTGGAGTCATACCGTTAATCATATCTAAAAAATTTAAGAGGAACTCGAAAATTATTTCTCACGAATAAGATGACTGAAATTTATCATTTCTCTCATCTGTACTGTGTCTAGTGGATAATTCGAAAATTTAAACAGAAGTCAAAATTTCTTATTTACACTTACTTAAATTTGAAACAGTTTGACGGGGTGATTCATTGTGAATAACATTAACAGGTATGTCAATAGAGAATGGCACATCCTTTAGAGTAGTATATGTTGGTTTTTCTAACAAAATATAAAGTAAACTTTTAGCAAGAAAAAATAACACGTACCTGATGTATTTGAAGTGATGTCTTTTGATTGTGTATTTTCGTTTCTTCGTTCGTAATCGCTTTCGATGTCTACGCGTTGTTTTTGCATAAGACGATCAACAGCTTTACTACATATCTCAAAATTGCCTAAATTGAAAAATAACTTAGTTATATTTCGACGGTCAATTTCTATTTTACCCGTCTCAAAAATAAATCCCATATATTTTTTATGGCCAGATTGTACCAAAACAAAACCATCTTGCTCAGCTGGTGAACATTGTTTTGATTTAACAACAGAAAATGAATTATCACATGGGAAAATAACTACATGATACACTTCAGAACGTTCCACTGCTCTACGGTTTAATGTACAACTTCTAGTAGATGTATTTCTTTCATTCATTATTATTATCTGAAACAAAAGTTAATATATTTGTGATGAATAAGTACCTATAAGTTGATGAAGGTTAGAGACTTGAATACTAAATAATTACGAAGATCGTTGAATACAGTCAATCGTGTTCATAATCGATTCTTATTTCTGATACACAGAATGCATAAAAAATCGGAACACAAATACATTTGTGACGAATGTTAGTCACTGGAATTATGAAGAAATTGTTTGAAAAAGACACGAGCGGATAATAAGTGTCTATTAATTTGTGTAATTCGTTGGGTAACTCAACATTGTTTGACATTTTTTTCTCACAAGAAACGTATTTTTGTATAAGAGCAAAAGTTCCATTATTAATTAATAAAAAAATGACTATGTTACCATAATGAGTTACGTTGTTGTTATCATTGTCAACATAAGATACTGTGTGACTATTGCAACTAAATGGACGATCATAAATTAAGGAATGATATGTAATAAATACAGATTTGTAACGCTTGTAAAAACACGTAATGTTGTTTACATTAATAGGAGTTAGTAATTGACGTAGCACAGGAAGGTATTGGACGAGTGCAGGATCATCTGAATTTATCTTCTATAAGAACAGAGAAATGAAAATATATCGATAAGACATGTCGGTCATTCATTAGAGAAAAATAAAAATGAACACATAAAAAATTTTCATCGCTTAATCTGCCGTCTATTCTGTACTTAAAAGAGAAAGAATATTCAGAGTGTCAGTCATTATAAGAAAGAGAGAGAGAATATCATTTGTCGTTCTCCACTAGTAAGGTGCTTTTCTTTTTCTTGTCGACGGGTGCAAATAATGATTTATAGTTATAATTGTCACACATTTTAAATATTTCCATTTTCTTCACTCACATCCATAAGAGAATTTGTTACTAAATTAAATTTTTTCATTTGTGTTGTACATCGAAGATTATTCCAATATGCAATTTGACTAGCAACATTAGTGCTACCATGAGCATTTTTTTTTATATAACGGATGGCTGACTCAAAAGAAAACGCTGATGTATGTGCTAAGCCACCATGTAAACGAACTTGATGACCAAGATGTAAATGTGCATGTAAAGAAAAAATTTCAATAAAAGAATCATAGACCTTTGATGCTGTTCGACAATAGTAATCGAGAAGACGTTCACCAAGTAATATATCTTCTTTTGATTGAGGTGCATGTAGGAGTTTAATTGCTAATGAATATATAATAAAATGAGAGAAAAGAAGTGTTGGTAAATGATTAACCATTATTGGTACTCCAACATATAGTACAAATAAACGTGAATTTTTTGCTTTCCATAGAGATGCTACTTTGATCGATTCTAAAAAAACAACTTTTATATTGTGTGGAGTACGTAATCGTTGAAGTTTTTTGTCAATATCTAGTATTGACAACTTGTTAAGACATGAGCACCATCGGCTTATCAAAGATGGGATATGACATAGACACACAAGGTGCATATAGTCATATATAATTTGATCTGGATAACGAAATATTTCAAATAAATATGACAGACCTTTTATACCATTAACTGCTACTTCTTTATGACCTTTTGATTTTTTAACAGCTTCTCGAGCAGATTTCAAATAACTGTCATGAGTACGAGCTGTATAATCGTTGTTCGAATAAGGATAAAGCATTTTATTATATTTTGGATTCCATATACCTAGAACGATAGAAGAATAACGCACTAGAATGAAAAAATAAACAAAATAAATTAAAAAATTAGAAAGAATTAATTATTTTCAATAATGAAATTTAAATAAATTAATATGATCAATCCTAAATATTTTGTTTTATATTCAGTAAAGATATAACATGAAACTGCTGTTATCGATTGTCACAAAAATCGAAAATTAAGCTGTATTGTAATCTATCCGGTACAAAAAAAAGCTATGATTAATACTCAATAATTTATGAATATTAGGATTTTACGAAGTTTTTCTTGGTTAAAATTAATGTCATTTAAGTACTGTAATTTACAATAGAAAGTAAAATATTGTTGTAATCGTAAAAAGAACAGCAATTTACCTCTACTATAACAGAAAGTGCATGCTGAATATCCATTGAAACTTGTTGTGCAACAAAAGAGTGATTTTGCAGGTAGATCAGAAAGAAAAAGTTGAGTACCAAGTTGAATATTATATTCGTGATCATCAATAAATATTGAAGTTCCATTTTTAATTAAAAGTCATAAATCATTTATTGTTTGATCTAAAAATCTATTAACATTTGGTTTCATTTTCGATAACCATAAAGCTAGTATAATGATGTTTGATTGGAATTCTCTTATTGGTGGAGGAAGTTCTGTGATAGATGCAAAGCATGGCCATATTGATTGTTTTGACGAACGAATGAGAGGAGCACCATCGGTATGAACTAATAATGTAATTTTGTTGGCATTTATATCCGATTGTTGCTGATACCATTCACCAAAACAAATGTCACTTAGTGGAAAAAGATGAGATTTGTTTAGAACATCAAAGTTTCGACACATAATCGCTTGTATCTGACTTCGAATATCAAATCGAACAATTTCAATAAGTTCATGACTGCGTCGTTGTCTAAAAGAAGTTTTGCAATTTAAATTAACACAAAACTTGAAGCGATTAGTATTAATATCACATGATTTATAACAATCAGTACAAAGATAAGTTGTTAAACTAGGTGTAAAATTTCGAAGTGCTTTGTTCACAGTTTTCCACGTAGAAGGTAAAAGATTTGGTTTTGGTAATAAAGATTTAATCAGACGAAGAAGACCATTGATTTTCTGTTTATCTAAATTGATGTTTAAATAAAACTTACTAATAAGACGAATAGCACTGCTAACAGTAATTGAGGAACCATTGTACAATAAGCGAGAATCATCCTCATGTTGGTCATCATCATCATGCCATTCATTATCATCTTCAACATAAACTTTCTGTGATGCAGGTGAAATATAATTCTCATCATTCTTCTTGTCAAATGTTGATTCAAGTCTTTCCTGATTTATATTTTGTTCTTGTAGGCAGTATTCATTGTGACCATCATCCAAGTTGTCATTCGAAGAGCTAATATGTCGAGCAATTAATTGATAAATAGACTGACGCTTCATCTCCCGATTACGGCGTCGTTTATTTACTTTATGTGAGAACCGATACATTTGATCTTGAAGCAAAAAAAAGAGTCATATAATATACTGTAGCAAGATTAAAAGTATCTTCAATAATTTAATATTAACATTCGATGAATCATATAGAACATTTCGATCAATCATATCAATTCCTATTTGAATATACGTTTTTATATATGCTTTGAAAAGAAATTTTCAGAATTAAAACAGTACAAGAATAGCGCCGATTTTCCGCGTTATTCCGGCGTGAAGAACGTTCGAACATATTACGATGATTATTGTCGCTATAATGCCGGACAACGCCACAATAAGGCGTTTTTGCGTTATAGCGGCGCTACTAGAAAAAAAAGGACGACATGGACTGTGATAGTAAAATGTTGCACTATATCGAGAGAAGTAAAAAAATGAAAATAACGTAAAAAAAAACTTTCTTCTTACTTTAAATAAAACTTTAAATGATACTATCATTTACGGTTCAAAAACAATTGAAATAATATAAAACAAGAACCGTGAATATTCATGAAAAATATAATCATCTTTATTTTGTTCAATTGCATGAACTCTTCGTTGAAAAGATCCGATCACATAACTGACATAAATGTTTTTGGCATGGCCTTTATTTTTTTTCCTTCAAATCTTCTCATCTTTTAATCTTGTGATAATTAATGTTTTTATTGACACTATCCATCACAAAATACTCTAATGAATTCAAGTCTGGTGAGCAAGAAGATCACAGATCTTTAAGTATAAACGAGTTGAAGTTCTTTTTACACCATTCTTAGGATCTTTCATCAGTATCTGATAATACTCCATCGTGTTGCAGATACTACAGTAGTTGCGATGACCAAATCATCGATTATCCTCGGTCTGATAAAATAAGAATAATTTTTCATGATATACTATACAAAATATTTATCAATGTTATTTTCGTTTTTACTTCTCTCCGAAAAATGTGATATTTTATCATCATATTTGTTTTTTAGTTTTTGCCTTTCTAAAAAATCATCAAACGAACGGGATACGATTTCTCATTACCATTCTTCTAGAAAATATCACGGTGCATCTTTAAAGAAAAAAACAAGATTATACAACTTATTTGTGCTGAGATATTTGCAATATACTAAATCTTCCAATCATTATGATTCATTTGATATTGTTCATTTTGTTAATTTCAAAATTAATTAGATCTTTAAAAAAAGCAATAGAAATATATTCATATGGATTGCATCTTTTTTTTTCTTAATTTAGATACAAGTGGAGATGGAGGAGGTGCAACCGGAGCTATCATTGGAGGTGTAGTTAGTGGTGTGGTTGGCCTTATAATTCTCATACCTTGCTGTTTGATTATAAGTGGTGGACTCACATTTCCGTGCCTAAAAGGTCGACCATTACGTTCAAGTAGTGTTTACATTAATAGTGGAGGTGCATGGAGATATCATTTAAGCGATTCCATCTTTATATCAGGTACATTTTCAAGTTATTATTATCAATATGGGAGATATCATGGACCATTTAAGATAAACCTTGCATTCTATCCAGAAGCTAACTATGTTGTTCATGGAGGAGGAACAGATGATATAGGGACTTATGTTATAACAGGTATTTATTCGCCAAGAACTCTTCGAATGAGTTTGAAAAAACAATATCAATCTGGAACAGTTGATCCACGAGAAGATTTGGGTCATATAGTGACAATTCAGGTAGAATGGAACCATTATAATCAACAGTTTGAAGGCAAATATTATCTTCGAACAAGACTACATAAAGATGAAAATCAATTTGTAATTCGATATGAAGGTGCATCAGGTTAACATCCGTGTTCAATAGAATTTTTCACATCTTTGATGAAATTTCCTTTTTTTTTAAATATTTTATACCAAACAACAAATAAACATGACAGAAACGAAAAACAAAAAAAATGTCTTCATGAATTCGTTAGAGATTGTCAAATAGATCTTTTATTATATTTATGGACTGATTATCTTCTTAATTAATGAAGACAAATTCTGATAAATAACATTGATCATTCAACCGTTGTCTTTGACAATCATTTTCCATATTTCATGTCACGGATAATTATACAAAGGAGATATTGATCTTGTTTCTCGTCTTTTTTCCATCAATTACATTTAATTTAGTCTTTCGTTTTTTTACTCTTATAGTTTTTGTTGAACCAAAAATATTGACTTTATCAATGAAAAATGTCTTACTTGTTCGTGGTCTGTTAAATTTATGGGTAAGATGATCTTTTTTAATAAATTCTACTTGACTTTCATCATCATCATTATATTCAGTTTTAAGCAGTGTTAGTAAATCATCGTCTTGTCCGGGTCCCAGTCCAGAGAAAACTAATCCAAAATCTATTCGTGTCATATCTAAGAAAATTCTTCAATATTCGTTTTTTCTTTTATTTATGCAGTCGATGGCTATCACTTTTTTGTGTTATCTCTCTGGAATTATGTTCATTATTGATAATTTATTAGACGATTCGCTTGAAACCATAGAATATCTAACTATAATCTTTCGTTTCGATTGAGACAACTTCTGGAACATCTTTAATCTGGACATTCAAAAATGTTTGACTATTCGCCTCTCTTTTCTTCACATTTGTGGAGTTTTGATGCATTCCTCTTCCTATTTTAGCACGACATTCTTTATACATGATTGCTACATTTTTAAAAATTTTTTATTTGTGCTAATGGTAAAACTTCACATTGTCGACAACTTTCTGGTCTTGAATAAACAGCACAATAATCATTTAACAAGACATCATTTGATACATGTAATTCGATTTGTTGTGATGGTGAAAGTAACGAAGGTTGTTTTATATGCCATGATTTACCACGATCACATGCAAATATAATTTTAATAATTGAAATATAGTTTCATCGAAATAGTATTTCAATTATTAATGAATATAATAAAAACTTTCTTGATGAATGAAATAAATCAGTAAAAAGAAATAATGCTAATGAGGGTGGGGTGTAGATATGGGTGTGGGTGGTATGTGGTGTTGGTGTGGCTGTGGCTGTGGATGTGAGTGTGAAACTTCTTTAGTCTCATCCACACGCAGACACACAGCCACACCCAAATCTCAAACGAACGAATGTTGCACTTAAAATGAAGCAAAGATTAGTTTGTTCAAGAGTTGATATCAGTATTGTAAACGAAGTAGCTTAGACGATTGGTATTTCCTTGAGACATTGCAGTTCTGTTTATTACATATAAGTAAGAAAAATTCTTAAAAATGAATCACAAAAGGCGAACACGATCAGGACGCGTAAAAAAAATTATAATAAACTTCCAGGGCAAGGGACTGTTTTCTAAGTCAATGTTCATTGAATCTTTTCCCTGTCCTGTTTGGTTTTCTATACTGATCGTTCGTTGATCACAATCGATGGTTAACTCAAGTATATCTCCAGTCTTTGCACCTGGCCATTTGTCCTTTGAAACACGATGATGATTCCCATTCTGTATAATGCTACTCTCGCTTTCCCATTCATATGATGAAGTTCCCCATGCATATGTCGAAGGTGTGCGATCAAAATATTGATCCTTGGCAGTTATACTCGATGAAATGATGCCAAACAGAATTTGATTGGCTTCCTGATCAGAAGAGACTGGTTCAAGTTGGAAACGAATGCGATGTATACCGGTAGAATATTTCCGCTGACCTCGAGCATAATTACCGCCATAGGTTTCCATCGGTTTTTCGAATACTTGATTATTATCAAGTAAAGAATGGCCATATCCCCCTGTTTCATCAAATCGTTCAGCTTCTTCCGTCATTGCAAGAAAGAATTGTGTGTAGTAAGATAGATAGTTTATTTTCTACGCAGAAAATAAGAATCACTATTATTCACTAGATATGACGATGTAAAAAGAAGAAAATGACAGTAGTGATTGCTCGTGAGAGTATGGACACCGATTTTTTTTTCTTATGCGTTCTCTACTGGAGAAGAAGGAGAAAAGATATGGATGATTGCACAGAGCGGAGAAAAGTATCATTATTGATGGTGCACTGGTTGTAAGGCGGTGGCAAAAAAAAATGAGAAGAAATGACAAAAATAGTTGTAACGAGTCAGTTTCTCAGATGGATTATTTGGTGAAATTACTCATCAAATGGAAAGAGACAGTTCTCTGAAGTCGAGCAGCAAGGCGGGAAAAGGGCGTGTGGGTGTGGATGTAGGCATGAGTGTGCGTGCAAGTACAGAGAGTATTCTACCCTGTTGTGATTCGTTACTCTTTTGAATCATACAGAACAATGCAGCGAGTTGGAACGACCACAAAACGAAGAAAAAGATGACTCTTCACGGGACTCGAACCACGTACCTTCTGCTATCCGGACAGATGTCGTAAGCCAGTGAGACTAGAAGAAACATCTCATCTTCTTCTTATGTACAGAGGGGAACACTCTGTACATAACAGACCCACACTCACACCATTTCAATCTCACCCACACATATATCCATAGCCACATCCTCATTCATATTCACATCTACCCACACCCACGCCCTTCAAAGCTTTTCGATAAATTGGTTCGAGCATTATTCGATAGACATGTTTGTTTAACAACAAATACAGATGGCGTTGATTTATGTCGTCGTTTAGAAACATATTCAGCCAATGATCAATATGAAGCAACAAGTATATCTATGTACATTTCATATCACAGATTTATATACAATGTTATCACAAGAAGAATCACTTGATATTCTTATAAAATTTCTGCTTTAGCATGGTTATCATTAGGTGAAAAACGTTCATGTTGATACCTTCGAAAATCAGTTTGTATTGTGATCTCACAAAAAGTTTTCATTTATGAAAACAAAGCCTGCCAACAAACAATTGATGGCGCAATGGAACCAGCATTTAGCTTAACTCTGAATCATATTTTCACGTAGAAATAGAAGAAAAGAACTCGTTCGTCAACAAGTGGCATCAAATAAAAGCTATGGCCGGTGTGTTTTGTCTTTTCTCCAAAAAATATTCCTTTTATCGGATACTATCATTTATATCATTGATAGATATATTGATGATATCTTCTTTACTTCAAATAAATTATTTAAATGTATCAATCACATGTTAGATAAAGCTAATAATTTTCATCCAAGTATTATATTAGTGCGACAAAGTGGTTCAAGTGTATCGTTTTTCGATGCATTTGTCGAAAATGAAGATAGTGTACTAGCAATATAAGTGTATCATAAAGAAGTAGCTGAGTCCTATATAGTACTATTTGGATCTCTTCATCTTTTATATGTTTTTACGAATGGTCTAATCCATGGGCTTTCTCCCACAAAAACACAAGGGTTCTTGAAATTGAGTGAATATGTACTTATCTTGTAGAACATAATGACTTGTTGTTATGCTAAAAAAATTAGCTTAAAAAGACGTTCCTTCGTAAAGATATAGAAGTCACAAGTAGAGCAGGAAAATGAAAAAAATTGAAAACACCGTAAAGCTCGGAAAAATTACCAAAAGTTGTGGTCTTGACTTTTTTTGTCATTATTTCGAAGGAAATTAATTCTGGCTACGTATTGTTGTTTCCCAAGATCTCGCGCATTTCTCCATTTATCATTTGTTAGTTTTCCTTCCTCTAATAAAATTTTTCCCTGAGTGATACTGTAATCCGTGACACAAATGATAGTGTTCGTACTTAGTTCTTAGAAACTAAAAATGGCTATATTGCTCGGCATAGTTGCATAGTTAGATTTATAGAACAGACTTTGCTCTATCAAACCCTATATTCGGAATTTCAGCCAAACTCGAAATCATCGGAATATAAGCATCAACTTTTTTTTTCTATTGCATCAGCCAGTCCGTATAAGCCATAGCCGACTTTCATAGAAGCCGTTCAATCGAGGTCAACAGTTTTTGTTCAATTTAGGATATGTTATAATGGGAACAGTTTTCAGAACTTTGACACAAGTCGTTTGAAAAAATACTGTTCCGTTCTCGAGATATTAGAATTTTTCTGAGGGCAATATTGTCAAAAAAACGCATTTTTTGTGTGCTTTTTTGTGACACCTATATCTCATCAAGCATACATGCATTTGACTTGAAACTTTTAATGTCAGTAGATGTAATGCATAAGCAGTACAGAAAAAAATGAGCTCAAATAGATGAACTATTAATAAGTTGACCAATACTACCAGGTACACACAAAATGATCATTTTTCAGTGTTTTGCGCATATATGTATCTTATGAAGGAGTGATGTTAGAGAGTTGATATTTTGAGAATGGAGAGATCTCATTGAGTACTTAGTCGAGTAAAACAACTCAGCTCTCTACATAGTTCCTATCGTTCAGGAGACCTTTCGCAAAATCATGATTTCTGACAAAAATCACAACTTTGGGAGGGTCCGAACTTCCAAGATATAGATTGTAAAGAGGCTGGACACATGTGGCTTTGAAGTGCCCACTGAGTACTATAAAGCAATGAAAAAAACTGACGTGAAATCTCATAGAATAGGTGTGGGTGTGGGGTATGGGTGTGGGTGGGGTGTGGCTGTGGCAGTTATTGAGAAGAAGACCCACTCCTAAACCCACATTCACACCCACACACCCACACCCACACCCACACACCCACACCCACACCCACACGCCCACACCCACACCCATACACCCACACGCACACCCACACACCCACACCCACACCCCTTCTGATTTCATCTTTTTATCGCCTAATATGCCTTCAATGAAAAAAAACAAAATATACTAAAAGATGCAGCGTGAAAAAGCTCTACAATCTACAATGTAAAGCTTATTTTAATTGTTTTGTTATTGTTCTTAAAAAAAGAAAAACTCTGTGCGACCAATTTTTGACGATGCTCAACGATCATTTTTTTCACAGCAACAAGAAGTATTTTTCTTATTTCATCTTTTTATCAACTGATTTTTTTGTCGTAAAAAAGAACAAAATATGCCACAAGATGCAGTGTGAAAAGCTCTACAACTTGCACAGACCAGTCTATTTAAGTAAGAAGAAAAGAATTTCTCATTGATGTCGAAAGAATGATTTTTTTGCACTGCCGAATATTGGTCGTACAGAATTGTTTTTTGTTTTGAGGACAAAAACAACACACTTAAAATAAGCTTTACTTGGTAGATTGTAGAGCTTTTCACGCTGCATCTTTTAGTGTATTTTGTTTTTTTTATTGAAGGCATATTATGCGATAAAAAGATTAAATCAGAATAAATAATCTTTGAGCAGCGCCGATAATTGATTACTCAAAACTTTGTTCATTTTGGAAACAAAAATTGGAACTATGAAATAAGTGGTCTTATGTAAATTGTATCGCTTTTCACATTGTATCTCGTGATATATATTGTTTTTTATTAAAACGTTTTAAATGATTAAAAAAAGTAAAATATACAAGCCGACAATTATTTCTGCTACACCCATTAGTTTGACACAAGAAGAAGAGAAAGAGTAGTAAATACAGATCATTCTTTTTTCTTTCTTTCTTCGTTCTGTTTTTTTTCTTGTCGTTCAGCATATATAAAGAGAATTAGTCCATTTTCGCCGAATTGTTTTTTCGCCGACAACGATTTTCGCCGAATTCCAACTTCTCCGAAAGAATTTTTCGCTCATTTAATGACCCTGAACCACACCCACACCTACACACGCACTCACACGTATACCTACACCCACACTTACACCTACACCCACATGTGCACTCATTCCAATGTCTCCGTCAGCGAAAAATTCTTTCGGTGAAGTTGGAATTCGGCGAAAATCGTNATTTTCACAAAAGAATATCTGTGAAATCTTTTTTTTTTCGAAAAAAATTTAGTTTTTCTGATTCTGCTTAATTTGGCTGAGATTATACATTTACCCCACTTGCACCAGCACGATTATACATTTACCCCAAGTGGTGTAAATGTATAGAAAATTTTTTATTAAAGCTCTCTGAAAAAAATCTGTCGAAACTTGATATGTTTTATGAAAATAGTTGAAATAGTCAAGCATCATAGAGAAAATCTTCAGCTATTCATTGGTGAAAAAATTTTCTAAAACAATCAAACAGATCGATTATAAATATGGTTTTATTAATCAAGCCAAAAATAGCTGAGATTATACATTTACCCCACTTACGCCAGCACCATTATACATTTACCCCAAGTGGGGTAAATGTATAATATTGATGGAGGTCTCGGGAAATCCATCATCACTACCTTATACTGCAAGATTTTTCAAAACTGATTTCATAGATAGGTAGAGGAGACATTTTTCTACATAGGTTGTGACGAAATTTTTTTAAAATATTGAACAATAAAAAAGATATAAGCATTATAGAAAACACCCTAGATTTTTCTTCTACATTTACCCCATTTGACTCTACATGATATTTGATAAAATAAAATAAATATATAATCAGTTCTAAAAGATTGGCAGTATTTAATATTATAAATAATAGTCTTATACAACAAAATAAATGAAAATTATTTGTGACAGGAAAATTTTTGAAAAATTTTAAAGAAATTTTAATATATGCAATTTATTCTATGCAAGTTTATTTTCATGCAGGAATATTAATACTAACAAATGAGATATAATTTAGGCAGAAAACGTTCTATTGATAAATGCATTTGTCCATATATATATATAGATATGAAGTCACGATTCATATATACTTTCCGTTTCATTCGACAATGATTGTGGTCACATGTGGCTTCATGGTATGTATACTTGCTTCTAAATCACTAGTTCAATTGTTCTAATCTCATTTCTATCATTTTAGATAAATCAACATTTCAACATTCCGTTCGCCTATAGTGAGGTAAAGACCATCGTTAGAGGATATCGATGGCGTCTCAGATCAAACCTGAGACGAATTCTAATATTTTTTTAAATTTTAAATATCAAATCGCACGCGTTTAGACGCGATTTAATTTCTAACCGCGTCTAGCCGCAACTTGGTTTGGAACCGCGTCTCCAGTGAAACATTTCTTGCGTCTAGACGCGGTTGAAAAGAAATCGCGTCTAGACGCAAGAATTGTTTCACCGAAGACGCGTTTATTGCGTTTTTCCGTTGCGATCCACACGCAGCGAAACGCAACTCAGACGTGTTTTTCTCGAAAAAAAATTTACATGGGAAAACATTCGAAATGACTTCGCGCATTTATCTTTTGGTAATTCTTTTTTATTTGAGTTTGTGTTTAATATTTCTATAAGTATCTATTTGTTCTTCGTCATATTGCTTTTCATACTTTTCATCTCGCTGATTTGAGTTGGAATCAGAGTGGCCAGATCTTCCGATTTGGCATGAAAAGTTCCGATTTTTGAACTTTTTTCTGATGGCTTTCCGACGTTCCGATTTTTTCCGATTTTTCAACTTTTTTCCGATATCTTTCCGATTTTCTGATTTTCGAGATTTTTTTCTAGATTCAAGTTTTTTCAGCATTCAATTAAAATTAACTAAACTCATTGCTACATGTACCGTGCTCCATCTTTGTTCTTTTGTAATTATTGGGCAGCTCTAGTTCATAAACCTACTGACAGATACTTGAGTGTACTGGTAGCTCTTCCTTCAATAGAATTAGAATTCCATGCAGACAAAACAGTTTAATTTTCTATCTCGATGAACTACAGTAAACTCTCTATTAGTGAACATCTCTACATAATGAACACCTCCTGTTTGAACACAGATCTGGGTCCCCCTGGTCGATTTTTGCTGTAAAGGGGCCTCTACATAATGAACACCTCCCAACTCTGAACATGAACACGATTTTTTGGTCCCTTCAGCACAGATAACCTCTATATAGTGAACATACATGGAACAAGGTATACGCGTGTTTGTGAAACAAGAGAAAAAAAAGAGAACACAGTGTTCAATCTAATGTGATGATAGGCCACCTCATTGACGGTCTATTCATCACAAGAAAATTCGTCGCGTGTATGGAACAAAGGAAACAATGAAAATGAATAGTTCACGACAAGTGGATCAGTCGCATATAAAAGAATATCGCACTATTCTATTTACACACAATTGTAAAATGACGACACGACACGCATTGACCTTCTCTGAAAAGAGACAGTTGATTCTTAAAAATGAAGAGAAATTTTCATACTGTACGCTTGCCAACAAGTATAAAAATATTTTTAAAATTATTTTTTTACGTTATTTCATAAAAATCGAATAAATATATGTAATAGATAAAAAAAATACCTTTTCTTTGACCTTGTGCTAATTGGAGTGAATTCGAATACGAAAGGTGCGTAGTTATCAATTGGTCATGCTAACCATGCACTGTATACATACAAGAGTTCAGTCAGTGTAAAATCTCCATATAATGAACACCTCCTCTAGTGGACACTAATGGGACTCCCATTAGTGTTCACTATAGAGAGATTTTACTGTATTTGTCTCTGTTAGTGGAATGACATTTACAGTTTTCTCCTTTTCTTTACGTTTTAATTGTTGTATTTCAGATATAATAAAAATAAATTATGAATGATTTGTTGGAAGATGCAAATATTAGTGAAAATGAAGTTGAAGAAGAATAACGAGCAACAACAACAAATGCAACACAGAAAACATCAACAACCACTTTCCAGATACACAAGAAAAAGAAGGGTGTTTTTCGTAAAGAATGGTTATCTATGAAAGAATACTCAAAATGGTTACAAGAAGTAAAAAGTGATTCAACACAGGCTCGATGTAAAGCTTGTTTAAAAACGTTTTCTGTTTATTATGATGGCAAAACTGCTCTAGATAAACATATGGATCGTCATGCACATAAAACTTGTATGAAAACATTCGAAAAAGCTACATTAATAACAGCACTTCAAGTTCCAGCAAGTGAATTAGATAAAATTTCAGCAGCTGAAAGTGTATTAGTGTACCATGGTGTTAAACATGGTCATAGTTATCGTTCACAAGAATGTACAACTAATTTAGTAAAAACATTATTTCAGTCATCATCAGTAGCAAAATCATTATCGTGTGGGAAAACAAAATCAAGATCAATTGCATGTAATGTACTTGGACCATATTTTGTCAGAAAAATAATTGATGAACTATTGGAAGCACGTTTTTATTCATTATCATTTGATTCTTCCAATAAAGGAAATTGTAAAACTTATCCATTTGCTGTACAATTTTTTTCAAATGTTGGTGTTAAAAGAGGTAGTTATTTTTCGATACTTATTTATGTCTTGTTTGTTTCACGATGCAGCATGTTTTTGTTTTCATTTAGGACTCATAGAATTCATTGAAGATCCATATGAAACGGCAACAGATATATTTAAAAATGTACGTAAAGTAATCAATGATTATCAATTAAAACTTGAAAATTTGACAAGTATTGGTGCTGACAACACCAACGTGAACTTCGGCGAACATCATTCAGTATTTAAAATATTTAAAGATGAATTACCACATCTTATTAAAGGTAGGTTTAAACGTTTATTTAGACTGATTTTAATAGATCATAGTTCAAAATATATTTTCGTTTCGTTTAATTCTAGGAAATTGTTATGCACATATCTTACATAATGGAGTAAAACATGCACATGATGTTCTTCCAATTGATGTTGAAGGAGTTTTATGTAAAATCTATTCACACTTTTCAAAATCAGCTAAACGAATCGAAGAATTAAAAGAATATTATGAATTTGTACAATCTGAATATCGTGTAAGTTATGTTTTAAGAAAAACGTGAGAAAATAGATAAGCCAAGACCTCACAGCATCTTGATATATATATATATATTTATGTATTTTTTAGACATTGTTACAATATATTGATACAAGATGGTTAAGTTTATTACGCTCAATTACACGTTTACTTGAAAAATATGAACCAATAAAATTATATTTTTTAAATCAACAAACAACAATAAAGAATCAACGTCTTTTTAAATCTTTTTTTGACACAAATGATGGTTTATGTGTTCTAAATTTTTTACAAAATGTATTAACTGAAGTTCATCGAGCTGAATTACAATTACAACGAACATATACAACAGCAGTTGACCTTCATCGTATAATTAGTGGTTTAATTAAAAAATTACAACAAAGATTACGTGACAAATACTTTGGTAATAATACACGTGCAATATTAAAACAATTGGAAGAAATTGATGGAAATAAAGCTGAAGCATTGAAACAATCATTCGAATCATTTATCAAAATAGTTATTGAATACATTGAATCGTATTATGATGATGAAACTAAACAATTCTATGAAAAATTATCATTTTTCAATTGTCAATCAATTGAATTTCTTGCATGGGAACGCGTTATAGATGTTGTTGATTTAATTCAAATAAATGATTTGGACAAAGATGAATTATATAATGAATATTGTGAAATTAAATTCTTATATGATAATTTGATCAAGACAGGTATTAAATTGAGTGATCAAATTAAATTATATATTTCAAGTAAGAAAGATTATCTTCCAACATCGACAATAAATGATAATCCACATAATTTATTTGATAATGATGAGGACGAAGAAGGTGATTTAACACATAAAAATCAGAATAAAGATGAACATATACGATCTGATCAATTTTGGTCTTATTTATTAAGTATGAGTCCCAATTCGACACCGAATATGAAAAAAATTATTTCTTACATATTTTCAATTCCATGTGCAAATGCTTATGTAGAAACAATATTCAGTCATATGAAACATTTGTGGTCTGATTATCGTAGTCGTATGGATATTGAATTAGTCGATGCTGAATTAAAAATCAGAATGAATTCTGACTATCCTTGTGCATATGTTTATAAATATCTGTTATCTCAACCTGATTTATTGAAGAAAATTCGAACCGATGAAAAATATGAACAAAAAAAACGTCGTGATATTGAATGAACTTTAGTTTTTATACATTTTTTAATGAAATGTATGTGTTTATGTATTTATACTTTTTCTTCTATTTTTACGTGAATTTATCTCTAAGTTTGTTGAAAAGCAGAATGAGTTCGAGAGTAAATGATCTATGTACTATTCCTTGTAATCATTGAATGATAGATGTGCATTATCTTTTTTTTATGGTTTTTTTATTACAAAATATCGTCTAAGATGATGCTTGAAAAAATAAATAGGAAGAGAATAAAGTATATTATGTTAATGAAAAAACATTTTAGGCAATTAAGCATTAAAAATCCACTTTCCGATTTTTTTCCGATTTTGGAAAAAAGAATTCCGAAATTTTTCCGATTTTGAAAAAACAATTTCCGATTTTTAACTTTTTGATCTGGCCACCCTGACCCACACCCACACGCACACCCTCACCCACACCCACACCCACACCCACACCCACACCCTTTTCAATGTTGAACAAGTGACTATTTTATTGAATTTAGTTTGGTGGTCTTGAATCAATAATTACTGGTTTATGTGATGAATTTCCAAATATACTCGGACGTCATCGATCTTTATTTGTATTAGGTGTTCTTGTCATATGCTATTTAGGTGCATTGCCAACATGTACGTATGGAGGTGATTATATTGTTAATTTAATGAATGAAATAGCTGTGGCTCCTGCTATTCTTCTTGTCGTATTTATTGAATGTATTGCAGTTTCGTGGTTTTATGGTAAAATTAAATTATTAAAATAAATAATTCATTGAAATATTTTTCCTCTTGAAAATTTATTTGGGTGTCAATCGCCTTGCAAATGATATTAAAGCAATGATTGGTGCAAGACCATCTTTATTTTGGCGATTAATTTGGTATCTTATTAGTCCAATGTTTTTACTCGTAAGTAATAATGTCAAAGCTGTGATTTCAGTGGTCAGTAAAAACACCAGATTTTATTCGCAGAGGTTTTTTTTAAATAATCATCGTGCTCAACTTCAGCTTTATAAATAGTAGCCTTTTTTCACTGTTTGCATAGCATAGCACTTCGGTTCAATATTTTGATTTCTTTTTTTTTTAGGCAAAATCTTTCGTTTACATTCATTTCATCGTTTTCCTCTACAGCATCTTCTTCTTCTTCTTCTGATGTATCACTTTCATATTGAGAGAAGAGAGAATAGGAGCAAAGAGTACTTACATGTATGTTATATATAGAATCTGTACTGTACGGTGAAGGAAAACAAAGAAACGAAGAAAAAACAAGTGAATCATACTATAATGCATTTAAATTTTTATTCTTATTAATTTACGAGAAAAGTCCTTAGACTGATTAATTACTTTAGATTCTGGATTATGTGCATTATGTTGATCTTTGTTAGTTTACACAGTGAAGATACGGCATTTGTACGCTATTTTTTTAAGTCAATGTTGTGGTTCTCCTCAGGAACACTAGAAAAATTCATTTTCAAATTTTGACTTGAAACTTTGCACATAGACAAGTCTTAACAAGAATAATATTAATTATGAAAGTGTCAGGTCGAAAAACATCGAATCTGCTGGTCTATGTGAGCAATCTAAACGACAAAATTTTGTCGTAACTGTATCTTAAGATAGAAACAACGAAAATATCTGAAATTTTCATAATGAACGCTTGTCAGTAAGACCTATTTCTATAAAAAATTTCAAGTTGAAATTGGAAAATAAATTTTCCTAGTGTTCTGAATAGGATTACAGCATTATGCTAAAAAAAATACCTTAAAAATGTAGTATTTCTGCAGTAATAAACAACAATCCCGAACTATTGCCAAGGGTATTAATAGGTCATTAAAGTATAAGTGATACACATAGTCTCGACTGAAAAGCAATTAATCAGTTGGAAGACTTCGATTGTTAGTTGACTTTTTATTTATTAATCTTTAAATTTATTAACAAACTTGATTCATCGCTAACTGATCATGTCACATATTTTACTGACTAAATATTTTATTCTCTAATTTTATGAATTCCTTTTTTAATATTAAAATATACAATAGATGATATTCTATATTTCAATGGATAATTTACTCTTTGGTAATATTCAAATAAAACGAATCAGTTTACGAGATTTACCAACTACTGTTCAAGTATGGTCTTATCTTATGGTATTTGTTCCTATATTATGTATTCCAGCTTATGCTATTTATAAATTAATTGTAACACCTGGAAAAAGTTTTGACGAAGTAAATCAAATAATTTCAATGATGAATAATCGTGTTTTTTTTTTGTTAATTTCGTTTGTTTCTTAGCGTCTTCAACGATCAGTACAACCCGAAGAATCATTACATGAAAATGTTCATTATCGATCAAATGGTGAACAACAAGAAGAAGATAAAATTGAAATTCTTTAAATGATTATCTTTATTTTACAATTCAAAGAAAAAGAACAAAAAAAAAATTATTGTTCACTACTCTGTGGCAATGACGTTTTTAATTGTTCATCGACAGATTGACCAAACAATTCGTGCACTTGCTGACCCTTTTTTGTTGTTGTTTTGTATAAAAAAAATATTCGTAAAATAATTTTAATTAATAAACACTTTACCTCCTAGTAGTTCGGGACCACTTTGCCCACATATTTGACTTCCTTTTTCACCACCTAATCCAGCTTGACGTCCAGCAACTTCTTTATTTTCAGATACTTTTGGTTTACCAAGATGTTGTTCATTTTCTGCATAACCAATTGAATGATACGTGTCACTAGGTAACTTTTTATGAGGCATCTTTTATATTTTATGTTGTATTATTTTTAAAGTAGTTTATGTGAGTCTTTTTGTGTTGATTAAAAACTTATATAACAATACATTACTTGATATGCGTACAAAAGAAAACGTCAGAATAAATACTAAGTGGAGAAAAAAAAAGAAAGAAGAAATTATGTAAAACAGAACTTATCGAATAAGTTCATGGAGTGCAAAAACAGAACTTATCGAATAAGTTCATGGAGTGTAAAAACAGATCTTATTTCAATCGAATTCGTTGAAGGTGATTTTGAGCTGAATCTTTGATCGATTAACGATACGTATTGTACGTTAATGTGACTGTACAAATTTCCATATATTTTACATTTCTATACAACGTCGAATAGCTTACGAGAAAACCTCACCAGATGTTACCTTCTGATTTCAATGATTTATTTTGCCTGTAGATACTGCATAATGTTCTAGCAAAGTCTCTAAAATGATTAGAGTTTTTCTATTGAGATTTGACTAAGCTATTGAGTTTGTAATATGGGTATTATTCAGTGTGAAATGAACCTGGATAAGTCACTAACTGCTGTTTGTCTCCAATCACTCGTCCGATAGCATGCTGATCACGTTGTGAAATATGCCTGTACTGTTGGTTAGTTTGTGTGTGTAAGGGAAGTTTAAGTAGTTGAGTGCAAAAACTTTGCGTTACGTTAACCTTCTCAACAGAACTACAGCTAGTAGTAATTCTAGGAAAGATGTCGGACTATTCAATCTGTCAGTAGGCAGCATTTCATACCGTTAGATAGTCGAAAGGCAGGAATATTCTTCCTTGTATTCTCTGAATTCCAAATGCATATGTTATGGCCGAAGTTGGAATCCAGCCCGATTCGGAATTCGTCCAGATGAAATTGGAATTCTAACTCCGTCCAGACTAAAGTGGAATTCTGAGTTAGACTAAGATTATTATGGACGAGATTAGAATTCTAATTTCGACCAGACCAAATTGGAATTTTTTTTAATGAATAGAAATCAATAAAAAAAACAATCAAGAATATTTTTTTTTAATTTTATTTAACAAAAAAAACTAATGAACATCACAAATTGGAAGTGAATCTACTCCATATTTGAACAGGTACCTATTTTTGAGTGACATTTAGTAGAACAAGATACGTTGACTTTTTTACATGGACAGGTTTTTGTTGAACATTTACTACGACAATTACAAGTGCGTCCAGTTACAGAACCACGAGCATAAAGTTTTGATGCTTCAATAAGAGTAATTGGTTTTAAATTATCAGCATTAATTTTTTTTAATTCATCAGGACAAGCATCATTTAAATTCACAAATTGTCCAACTTCAAAACTTTTCTGTAGAACACCGTATTGGCATATTAATTTATATAAAAAAACATTGTTCTTTGCAGTTTTTTCAACGATTCGACATGGTAGATATTTTGGATCGGTGTTGGTTCGATCGACTGGATGTATTTCTAATCCAACACAATCATTTATATTAAAATTATTTGCAATCATATTTAAACTATCTTGATGTAATTTCATTTTCTTATTTGCAGTTGCAAGATAATGATCAGTAGCCGTTTTGCGAATTTTATCATGCCTGGTGGGTGTTGTTGCTACAGTTGCCGATGATGTTAATGCTGTTGATGAATTTGGTAATTTTGATGATGAGCTTGTTGATGAATAAGAACTCATATCATCAGATAGTTGTTTAAGAAGTTCAACTACTTCAGTATCAATATGTGCATTAATATCAATTGGATTATCAAGAGCATCGTCAATCATATTATCATTTGATTCGTCTACTGGAATGGGAAGATTTTCTTCATCTTCGATACCAGCCTCCTGAACTAGTTTCCAGAAATCAGAATCTGATCGTGGTCTTTGTCCGAACATAATTTCATATGGAGTTGCTTTGGTAACTGTAGATTTTCTGGTATTTATACCATAAGTAACAGGTAATAAAGCAGTAGACCAGCTCGATGAATTGTTGGTAGACATCCATTTGCCGAGAGCATCGCACAAAACACCGTTAGCTCTTTCGATGCAACCCTGACTTTGCGGGTGCCTCGGTCTTCCTCGAATAAATAATAAATCATGAAAAGAATTTTTTAATTCCATGGTAACGCTTGAAACAAATTCACGTCCATTATCACTGTGAATTATATGAGGTGGACCGAAAACAAAAAACAATTCGTATAATTTTGTAACAACTTCAGCAGCTGTTTTATTTTTTAATGGATAAGCCCATGAAAACTTACTAAAGTGATCAATACAATTCAAAATCCAGCAGTAAACAATTTCAGGTGATATTTTGTCCGGTCTTGTACGCATATCTATAAGATCTATTTGTAGACGTGTCATAATACCCAAGGATATAATTGGTTTTGAAACAACATGATGTTTAATTGGTTTTCTGGTTTGACATGGTAGGCATTGTTTCAAAAATATCTCGACGCAAAATCGAGGAAGCCAAGAATATTGGGAACTTATTTCAGAATAGGTTTTTTCACGCCCACCGTGTGAAACAGCAATATGGGCTTCAAATATAATTTTATGAAATGCTTCATAAACACAAAGTGGTTTTTTCGATTTAACACACGTTACAATATCATTTCCAGCAATTTTGACTAAGTTAAAATGGGACTTTGCCCAATAAACAAATTTTGAAGAACAAGATTCAGAAGCCGTTCCTTTTGGTAACAGCAAACATTGCAGAATATCATTATAAACTCGTTGTTTAATAACACACTTTTCACGATATTTTTCATGCAATGAGTTAATGTACTCATCCAGTTTTTTGTAAAAGATCATCTCATGATTATCAACTTCAACAACTGTTGAATTAGACGCCATTATTTATTTTACAATTTCTCGCATAAATATTACAATATATACCGTTTATTCCTTCAATTATTGAACAAATTCAATCAAAGATCAATCAAGAGACAAAGCCAACGCCACATATACAATCAATACAAACAAATTTATGAGTATTGGTCATCAATAGTTTATTGATTTCTATTCATTAAAAAAATTCCAATTTGGTCTGGTCGAAATTAGAATTCTAATCTCGTCCATAATAATCTTAGTCTAACTCAGAACTCCACTTTAGTCTGGACGGAGTTAGAATTCCAGTTTCGTCTGGACGAATTCCGAATCGGGCTGGATTCCAACTTCGGCCATAACACATACATAACGTTTCAGATTAAAATTCTAGAATACGAATCTGCCAAATAAAAATCCAATAGCTTAGTCAAATTTCAATAGGAATCTAAATCATTTTTACGGTTTTTACTAGAACACTATGCAGAATCTAGAGGCAAAAATTTATTAAAAATCGAAATAGGACATGCGAGGAGGCTTTCTGGTTAATTTACTAGAAAATCGTTTATAATGTTTCAAACTATTTATTTGGTAATTCATGTTCATTTCATAGTGAATGATCATGAAAATTTGGACTTAAAGACTCCTGTTAAAAGTGCTTTTTAAATACGTAATCTCTTGCTTCTTTTGATATTTATTCTCTTTTATGTGAGAAGATTATGTCAATATTGTGTTAAATAACATTTAATCCTTGTTTTATGAATCATAGCATAATAAACTTTCTAAAAGATTTCATATTATTCTTTCGAATGTTAATATAACTACCAAAGAAATAAATATCATAGAAAAAATATTAAAATAAAATATTAATAAATATATCTATGTAAAATAATCGAATAGTTTTTTTTTTTTTTTACATAGAACTTACTTTAAGAATTGTTATTCATTTACAAGAATAACCTGAAGTAACAGATTATTGCTTAGTTTTTCTTTTTCAAAAGTACGAATTTTAAATGAATAATAAAATGTATTAAAATTGATATCTTTCGATAGATTTTTACATAAAATAACTGCGACTGTTTCATAATGATACAAAATCAAATAGAACTAATGTAGCTGCAATTGACAATTCGTAATTTTCTGAAAATATTTCCAAGAATGCATCTAGTCTTAGTAATAAGCATAGTTGCAAACAAAATTATTGGAAAAGCAATACACTTCGTATAAAAACAAAAACATGAATGTAAATATTCCCAAGATACGTTTACAGAATACATTTATAGCTTTTATTATTTACAACCATATACAAACAAAAGGAAAAAATTGCTCGATTAAATAAACAATTACAGTAGAATAACTATTTTATCAATCCTCATGATGAAATTTTTTCTCAATTTCTTTCCATTGTGGTAATCCAACAATATTTTCAAATACTTGAAAATTCACACTGTCTTTTGATAATAATTGTTTTCCAGCTATTAAATCTCCTACAGTTTGTTCAATAGCATGTGTAACACGAAATAAAATTGTTGTTGGATAGAGAATCATAAAAAATCCCATTTTATGTAGTTCATCTGAAGAAATCTATGGTGTACGACCACCATGTTCAAATTTATTAACACAAAGTGATGCACCTTTAAAATTTCATCCAATACATTCGATTTGTTCTACATTTCGTCGATCTTCAATAAATAAACCATCGGCACTAACTTGTAAATATCGTTTACCACGACGTAAATGCTTCATCAAAATCGCACACTTCAATAGCATCTGTTCGAGCAATAATGAAAAATTCTAGTTCGGAATATGCTGTTAAAGCTGCACGAATTTTTGATATTCATAAAAAATAATTTGTCGAAATCTTAATAAGTTCAAAATTTTGAAAATAGATCGAACCTTTAAGATGCCCACATCGTTTAGGTGTTTGTTGATCTTTAAAAAACAATGCCGATGCACCAAGCGCTTCATATCCTCTGATTGTTCGTGTTACATTTTTTACATCACCATAACCATCATCAGCATCAATCATTACAGGTAATGATGAAGCTGCAATAATGCCATAGAAACCTGTACGTTCTTCACAAAAATGTGTTAAATCAAGGTCAGGATAAGCATATAAACATTAGAAAAGTATGTTCTCTTATGTCAATCGGAAACAGAAAAAGAGCAAAAAAATTCGATATAGAATTACTAGGATACTTACGTCGTGTACCATTTAAAGCGAAATTTCCAATTTAATAAGCTTTAAAACATGCACGTTCTATAATTCTTGCTGTTCATGCATCATGAGCGGCTGGTAACAGTAATGGAGCATGTTCAAAAATCAATTCTTTCCAACTTTCTCGTTTTTTTCACCTTATGGAATTCATTCCTATGCTGGAAACTATTGTTCGACATGTTAATAATTGAATATTACCGTGCGAAAATTCTATAATTTAATATATTTGAGTATAATTACAAATAATCGAAAGAAAACTACTGTTTACTGCTAATAAAACATTCAAATAAACGTTCCAAACAAACATCTTTATTAATGTACAAACCATATTGTAATATGTACTACAAGTGTGTTTCTATTTTCGATAGATAAAACAATTCTTTACACGCTGGTATGTATTAGAGCGAAACAATATTGATATAACTTCAAAACTTGAAATGCTAATAGTCCTATGGATTTTATATATAACTCAAGTTTTCACGTTCGATAAAATGACAACCCAACTCAAAATACATCATTCGTTAGAGAAAGCCAAACTGAATCAAATCATATCTTTGCTTCTTTTAAAAATCATTAAATAAAAGACATTCATTGCTAATTAAAATTAGTATTTCAGATGAATCTTTCGATAATATTGAATTTTGAGAAGCAAAAACAAACTCAAAATTTTTTAAACAATGTAGGCTTGTAGAGAATTAAATTCTCTACGAAATGATGTACTTGATTGTACAATAACTATTTTTTCTGAATATGATACACATCTATCTTTTTAAATACAATTTGCAGTGAAAAAAGAAAATAGAAAAAACAATTTTGTTCTGTTGCTATATATAGACGCCGAGCTAGTGAATGAAGGAAAGAAAGATACATAAATTCATACACCATACCTATAAAATGATAGAGCAAATGTTTTTTTCTTCTTTCTAGGAAAAATAAAAATTGCCCAACCAAGCATATCATTTCGTAGAGAATTTTATTTTCTACAAATTTCTATCATTCAAAAAAATGTCCAGTTTGATTTTGCTTCTCCAAATTCAAGATTATCGAAAGACTCATATGAAATACTAATTTTAAAAAGCAATTAACATGTCTGTTATTTAATGACTTTCAAGAAGCAAAGATATGATTCGATTCACTTTGGTTTTCCCTATTAAATGATATTTAGCTCAAAATATTTTGATGAAGAATAAATGTACTATAAACAGAAAATTATAGGTGTCCGAACAAGTTATTACATAGGGAATCAAGCAGTTAATAGAAAATCTTGCTAAATTATGAAAACGTTATTGAGAGAAAGCTTTTTTTGTAGAATAAAGTAGAGACTTCGATTCTGAGATTAGAATTTTCCGGAGACAATACAGTTTCACTTTGTACAAAAATCAATGAAAAGTCCAAGAATGTGCACATTTCTATTAATTAATGGAAAAACTGATTTCAACGCAAGCTTCCTCCCAAACTTATAACGTGTGGAACAAAAGCACCCCCCATGGGCTTCTATTCTGTGGGGAGTAAGAAGTTAATCAGAATCGAGAAAATATTTTTTTTCTTCTTGGAGAAATTCGCTTCACAAGACAAGTATTATGGGATGTCCGAATAATTATTTTACATACTGTATGTAGATTATAAGCGAAATTGAAATGCGACTAGAGATTAATTCTTATGATCATGCACTTTACTAAAAGTGAAATGGAATATAAAAACAAAAGAGAAAACTGTAATTGTGGTGATTGTATCAATAAGTGTTATAAATATAGATGTACGCATTACAATCTAATAAAAAGATATCTGAATCGAATTAAAAATCCGACCGCACTTGTGATTGTAAGGGCTCAATTCACTACAAAACAATGTTCGTGTAAAAAAAAATGACAGTTTTTTTTTTTTGCTCGACAAAATTTCATTGAAAACGAGATGATTGTACAAATAAAGACGAATAGATTAAAAACAATTGTCTTGTAAATTGTTTAGTGTACTGAAAATATATAGTTGGATAAAAAAAGCAAATAATTATTCTGTTCAGGTTTGAATTATTTCGATTGCATAAAGTTTTCTCTAGTCGAATTCTAATTTCGCTCCGACATAAATGAAGTTCAAATTCCGCCCAGACGAGTTTAGAATTTGTCTGAATTCTAAAATTGCCTACAAGACACACGGTGGATACCAAGATTATTCCCAAAAGATAATGACTCCAGAAAGTCCAAAACCCTAGTTTTTCAGCATTTTGAACGTGCAAATATAGTTTTGTTTAGGCTACATAGAACGGTAGAGTTACGAAAGCCTGTAAAATCGTTTTTTTCCAATTTCGCATGGAAAATCCATTTTTTAACCTTCAATCATATTGCTGTTTCTCAGCTAAAAAGCTTTGACAAGAATTTGGATAAATCTCATTTTGTAGAAAATCGTTTACTCTTTCATTCTATATAATGTAACCGAAACATTAGAATGTTGTTAAATTGTAGTTTAATATTTCCCATTTTCTATTAGTTATAATATAGTTGTTAGTATTAGTCAGATCTACTTTTGATTATTGATTATCATATTGTATCTTAAAACGATCATCAATTAATAATAATTCATTACTTTTCTTTCATTTCTGAGAATATTTAAGAGTGATATTAGGCGAAGATATATTTTTGCTAATACAGGATAGAAGTCATCAATATTTTTCATTCAATAAATGAAAAAGTATTAGTATTAAGATGATATTCTGGCAGTAGATTGTTTTTTCTCACAAAAGAACAGTAATCATAAGCAAATATATAAACAACCATTGGAATCGTTCAATGAAGTGTACATGATTTTGATTTTGCATGCCTTTAAGAAAATGTATCGATTGAATTTACAGTTGACAAAAATTCGCAAAAAATGCCGTTTCTCGTTCGTAAAAAGTTCTTTTTCTTATATTCTTTTATGCTACTATAATATATAACTAATTGAATATATAAAAAATCTGCACACAATTCAAAAACAAAAATAATAAAGGGATTTTTTTGTAAGTCTCTATTCATCGTGGTATCAATACTATTTTCAAGTCTAGCAAGTCCAATATTTGTTGAAATTTATCCACAGTCATTTTAGTTCGATTTTCAGAATTAGTCAAAAATTCTTCAATGGCTTGCTGATTATCTTTATTTAATGATTTAACTTGAGTTTTTCGCCAAGGCAAAATTTTTCGAAGTTGTTCACTTAAATCATCATTATTATGAATTTGAGAATTTTTATGGATAGAAAACTTATTGGATGAACATGACAGAAGCAGTTTAATTGAAGTATTATCTAGTGACCAAAAAGCAGCACCGGTTAGAAGAATACTAAGAATAATGATTAGAAACTGTTTATTTAGAAAACAATGCCACCATTGTCGCGTATCATCAGCCTATGAAGAAAACAAAAACTATATAACTAAAGTCATAATGGATATTCTTTGCCTGTTTATGATTGTTTGATCGTGCGTTTTCATGAATATTGGTTGATGGCTAAAAGTAGAGAAATCTTATGTTATAAAAAAAGACATTCTTTGTTTGTACTATGGAAAATGATCAGTTAATTATTTCGTTTGATTTAAAGAAAATGAAAATAAATGAATGATAGCTGAATGTCTTTTTCATTGTAGTTCAGCGACCTTTTTCAGCTATATTATTATTGGCCTGGATACTATCAAATAATGTAACGTACGTTTGCTATTCATGAAAAAATCAATTTTTCTCGATAGAATCAATATTAATTTTAATTGCTCAATTTTCTCTAGAGTAAAATGACTCAAAAAAGAAACATGACATTTTTCTGTTCTTCATGACTGTTCGGATCGACGTAACCTATAGTTTTCTTCAGTGTCTAATTTACCTCTTATTGGAAGAAGTATCAAAATTTCAAATATTGTAGAAACAAAACCAGATCTTTTTCTATATAAATTAATTTTTCTCTTTCAGCAATTAATAAGAAAACATACTATTCTTGACTTTGAGAAAGGCGATTTTTTTCCCTTCATATACATTTTTACTCTGACTAATGATGAGTGGAACCAAGCATTCTTGGTTCCGGTATGTGTCAGAAAAGTTTTTGGATCTGATTTTGTGCTTAATAATACACATACTAGCAAAACATGCAATATCATTTTTTTATAGTGTCAATAAGTTCCAGACATCTTGCATGACCTCTAATGTCATCCCACCTGGAGATGCATTAGCTTTTTTCATTCACTAATACTTCGTGTATTCTGTTATTTACGAAAAAAATGATTCATTTTATAATCAAAATTGCAACAGCTAAAACTGAAGTGATTGTTATTCAATACTTTTTGCATAAAGTTATAGAACACATGAGTCGTGCGAATATGACATTT